AAAGTGGGCGGTGTGAAATAAGGAGCTTGGTGGACAAGGCGCATTAGTGCAGTTTTTGCTATTTCGAGAAATACGCGTTTGAAGTTTCGAAATTACATACATTCTTATGGCAGAAAGAAACAAACTGGCTTTTTGATGCTTAAAAATTAGAATCTAGGAGCGATTTTTTCAGAGATTATGCGTTAAGACTACAGTTTTACTTGAAATCATTAATATCTCAATTTTTCAAAAATACTACGCAATGCGCATAAGCCCTCTAAGCCCTTCTAATGTACTTCGGATTTCACTCGATGCAAAAAAAAGTGCCCAACTCGAGCCTGATGATTTTTAAATTTACCGCCATGGGTTTTTTCATCTTGATTCAAGCTAGGAACAAGAGAGGAATGCTTGGGATAATCGATGAAGTAACTTAAATTGAGCGGCATTATTTTTAATTCAAGGAGAATACTTCTTGGCTGCAAATGTACGATTTTTTTAGTGTTAACCCCGAGATTTTGAACCGTTAATTGAACTGAATTTCTCAATGCAGAACTATTATCTCTGATTCACTCATGAAAGTATCTATCTGCACGACAAAACCAAAGGAATGTTTCGGTGGCTTAGTGCTAAACCACATATCTCCATCTGCGAAGTTGTAGACTTCCAGTCATACTTTAATTTATCCTTTGAAAACTAGTTAACGTCATTTCTTGAAAATTTCCTTGACTTTTTTTCTCTATTGGCAGATTATTCTGAAAAATTTCAATCTATAAACTTGCTTTGTCCTCTTGGACATACATTGGCGGATAAAGAAAATTGCTCGGAGACAAAAACTTCGTGCGTGGGACCCGAAGTTTAGGTCATATGGATCTCTGAAGTTTTTAGATTGAGCATCTGAACACTTAAGGTCTAGCTGCCGAGGTTCGGATCACACATCTGAAACTTCAGTTCTTACATCTGAAGTACTTCCGTTTTCACATCCGAAAAACTTCGGTTCTCACATCTGAAGTACTTCAGATGTAAGAACTGAAATTTCAGATGTGCGATCCGAACCTCGACAGCTAGACCTTAAGTGTTCAGATGCTCAATCTGAAAACTTCAGAGATCCATATGACCTAAACTTCGTGCCCCACGCACGAGGTTTTTTTCTCCGTGTGGAAACATTGTCTTTTATCGATTTAAACATTTGGAAATGTTTCGATTCTTGGAGGGACCAGGTGCTCAAACATGAATCGATTATTTAGTATATAGATTTAAATGGAGGAAATTCGGTGTTGCCAAATTGTTGGATCCGCCTCTGTGAAAATAGTAATCTAAAATCGAAATTTTGAAACTGCAATGGAGATGTATAGTGTTACACTTCAGCCATCAATATGGTGTTTCTAAAACGATCTAGAAGTAGTAGTTCCTCATCGCAAAATGTATAGTCCAATTGACCTGAATATCCGCGTGCTCATTTGTCCTGCATCAGGGAGGCCTTCATAGAGCGGAGTTCGATGTCAAGAATAAGGAAAAAATTAGTAAATGCAGATGAGTTTAATTGAATTCTGTTTTGCAAAACGGCTCCAGCCCCGACTCCATTCCGCTTCATGAGTGACCGGGTCGTCGGCGCGGAAACCTAGCGAGTGCTCGCTTTAATAAACTCCCTCACCAGCGTCGCTCCGCACAGTGGTGTGCTAAGGAATACTGCTTTGCTGAGGAAGAACGCCGTATGAACACTCGAGAGTTGCCAAATTTCCTCCGATAAAACATGTATTTTTGACGACATTCATACATATTTTTCCTTGAAACTTTCAGACATTTTAGATTGCATTGCGTGCCAAATTGTCTGAAAATTTTGGATAAAAAGATTCACAATTTTCCTAATAAATTCGGTTTTTATCAAAGGAAACATGGCAATGCCTGAAGGCTCATACGGCGTTTTTCCTTTTATAAAACACGAATTCCCTGATAAACTTATGAATTTTTTTCCTTTCAATTTTTAAGAGAATTTTGTTCATATTCTGATGTACAATTCCTGCTTTCAAGGAACAATACTTATAACTTTCCTCCAGAATAAACATTTTATCGAAGGAAATTTGGCAATATAAGAATTTTCATACGGCGATTTTCCTTAGCACGGCAGAATAATGACATATGTACTTTCAGACGTTGCCAAATTTCCGTCGACCAAGAATAAATTCTCTGGAAAATTTTTGAAAAATCTTCCTCCGATTTTACCGGGAATCTTATTCGTAGCTTGATCAAAATTGTCTAAAATTTAAGGAAAAATATTCGTTACTCTCCTAACCATATATGTATTTCCTGAAGGGGAAATTTGGCAATATAAGAATGTTCACGTGACGCGTTTTTCCTTAGCATAGTAGCATAGGGAGAGGTCGAACATGATGCGGGAAACTTTGAAAGCTTACATTTTCGTTAAGAAAAAACGACATTAGGAAGAGTCTCAATAGGTTTTCCCGAAAAATTCCTCTAGAAGTACCCCTACAAATTCATAATGTGATAAAATATACGTCAAAATTTGCGATTTGGATGCAAACAGTACTAAAAGGCCTAATCACGATGAAACTAATGAAAACAAAAGAAACTAATTAAAATAATTACGCTTTAAATTTTAAATACAAATAGAGCGTTAATATTATAGTATTTTAAGAAAGTTTATTATAGTTTAAAAATTAAAATTGAAATTAAACATAGATGGCTAAAGTGCGAAACCATGTATCTATGCATTGCAATGTTTAAAAATGTCCGCTCCTATTTTAATTTTTTGAAGAGCGACGAGACAGCTTCATAGCTCAAAATGGATGCAGGATATTCAGCTGAAGAGGAAGAAAAATCAAGGGAATTTCCAAAAAAATTATTGACTCATTTTCCAACAAAAAAAAATGAATAAATTTGAAAAATAAAAAATAAACAAAGTATGACAGTAAGTCTGCCACTTTGTAAATTAGGTACGTGGTTTCACACTCTAACCATCGATTGATAGAATAACAAATTTTAAAGATAAGAAAAATTGGACTACATTTTGCAATTTGGAACTATAAATTCTGGCTCTTCTGAAAAAAAACACTTATAAGCATATGGAAACTAATGGCACATACGTTGTTTTAAAACCGGGCTAGAATTTATAGTTCCAAATTGCAAAATGTACTCCAATTAACATTCAATACTACAGCAACACCCCAAGACTGTCTCAAAACATTCATGTCCGTTTTCTTTCATCCGCTTGTCCATTGTGCAGCGCCGGAGAGCGAGCCGCATTCGAAACTTTCGGACTCCAAACAAATTGGAGGGGGAAAAAATCATTAGAACTCGATAAACTGGAGCGGGACTCCGTAATTAATAAGGACTCCCTTGAATTTCTCCCCCGCCCCCTCACCCCCCCCTTCGTCGCGCTGCGCCTCGATCATCCGGGAAGAAGCTAGACAGCGTAATTAAAACGGATCCATGAGACCTGCGTCCCAACGTGCGTTTGGCGACGCCAGGCGAGGCGCCGCGCCGCGATGCGACGTAACAACGTAAGACGACGCGAACGTAAGGTCTAAAAGAACGTATCCATGCTCAAAGAAACTGTATCCACAAGAATGAAGTCGAAAGGAAGTATGTGGCACGTAAACCTTATGTGCATAGTTCATTTTTACATAGTTCCTTTTAACGTAACTAGGGGTCCACCCCCTGCCCGCTCCGCGGCCCAAACACCCAGCTTTATTCTGTCTATCCCTACACATTGAAATCCATGCCACTATCTGCCCCGTTTTTTCAGGGTCTACTGAATGGATTCTTACATCTACATCCAAGTTTCGAAACTGTTTTTAGTTAGACAGGTCTAAATATGTTCTTTTAATTGACATGCAATTATTTCGATATTTCCTTAAAATAAAATTTTGAGACATTTTTGAAATTTTCATTTTATCTTTAATGATTTTTTCACTTTCAAGTCTTCTAAAAACTCTATTTAACAACATGTCAGAACAATCACATGTCAATTTAAAAAGGAAATTAAGAGCTGACTTACAAAAAAAAAAAGGTTTTGAAAATCCAATCAGTAGATCCTGAGAAAAAGGGGCAAAAAAGTTCAAAAACTAAACTTTTCAGTATCGCAAAATGGAAAAGGAGAAATCACCTTTTTTTGAACTGATCTTTCGTGACAAAAACAGCTGTAACTCCTGCAATAGTTGCTGGAATTTAAAAAACTAAGCTAAAATAAAGCTTATTTGAAGAAGCTCAGTTTATTTGTTTCTCTAGCCGTATCAATTGATACTACACTAGTACATTCTTAGTTAAAATACAATTAAAAGTTGGTTTGTGTGTTTGCATGGACTACATTATAATATTTTTACTGCAGATACGAATAAATAAATGAAGAAAAAAATAACACACATTTGTACATGCAACCTTCACGTATTTTACACCTTCAGATTTTCAGAAAAGCGTTTTCTCTGCTCACAAAATCATCCATAAATAATATAACCTGTGATAATATTCCAAACATGTAAGATCTTTGCATGGCCCACTTCTTAGAAGGGATACGTGAGACTGTTCTGTGTATTGTGTCTAAATAAAATTAAAGTCATACGAATCGCCTTCAAATTGGCAGGATACAACATACACGGCACCACAATCTCTTCCCGCACTAGTCACCACACTACTTCTTTATGGCACGGAGAGAGGAAAGATGCCTCTGATAGTAACCAAGTGCCGCGCCGTGCCATATTGATTCATTGGTTTTCGAAAAGTCATGTATGTTGTATCCTGTCAATTTGAAGGCGATTCGAATGACTTTCATTTTATCCAGACACAACTGACAAAATTTTCTAAGTATCTTTTCTAAAAATGAACCTCGCAAAGACGTTATATTAATGGATAGTTTAGCAGAGGAGGAGTTTTTCCTTCGAAGTGCACAAGTTTTTGAACTTTTTTAGAAAAACAATAAATTGATTTTGAAATTCTGCTCTAATATGAAAATACAAAACCCTTCATTGAACCAACTCTCTAAATGTCGTTCTTTTTTTTTGTTTCAGGAGAGCCAAGGCCAACTGTCCGCTGGTGGCTAGGAAATACTATGTTAGATAGCATTAGTGACAAAATTTCAGAATCAACTGTGATAAATAGGCTTTTTATAAATAATGTGGCGCGATCCATGCTTGGGCAGCAGCTTGAATGTCACGCACAATCACTGGAGGGAGCTCCACCATTAGTTACGAAAGTATCCCTAGAAATTTATCGTAAGTATCTTTTGAAATTCATCGCAGGTATTTTTAGAAATTTATAGTGAAATCCCTACAAATTTATCATAAGAATCCCTAGAAATGTAGCGTATGTATTCAGCCTATTTGCAAGAAAGAATATCCTGTATTCCTGTCCAACAATTTTGATTCGTTATTTCTATTGAGGTGATTACAGACTCCAGTTTAGGGTTCCGTCTCCTTCTCGATACGTTAAATCAGTGGCGTGGCGAGCTTTGCGATGTATCGATTGATCTGTCATTTAAACCTATGGAAAGGATCGATTATTAGGGTGTTCGCAGCGAATACCCTAATAATCAATTCTTTACGACGAATTCAAATGGGAAAATATCGATAATCGATCATTTGAGCCACGCCACTGCGTTAAGTGAACGGATCAAATCAGAATCAATCCAATCAATAATAATAATAATTAATGAAGTTGATAGACAATGCGATAGACACAAAGAAAATGGAGCAATCCTATTAGCTGGAACGGGTGATATTTGTAGACTAAGGGGGAAAATGATGAACTAGCTACACGGTCTCTTGTTGGTTCTTGGTTGCTGTTAGTTAGTCTAATACTTATCCCCGTTGTCCATCGCAACCACCAATAGGATCGCTCCATTTCCTCTTTGTCCTCTCTGTATATTGCTTCTCCTATCGGAGATAGGATTCTTCTAATTCAATAATCGCTGCTGAATTTTACACCAGTGCCGAATTTTCCATCATGTTTTATTTATTTTTTTAAACAGAGTCCAAAACGCCTTTACATTTTTTTATGAATATATCCCCTGATTAGTATGTATGTATTCTGTTTAAAAATAAAGCATCAGAGAATATAAGGCAACGTCCGATGTAGTTGGATGGGATGAAGTTTTCCCTTAGCGCGGCAGATATTGGTCGAACGACGCGCCGTGTAATATCGATTCACCGATCCTCTAAGAGCCACGCATATTGTATCCTGCCGATTTGAAGGCGATTCGAATGACTTTTATTTTATTCGGACACCATTTACAAAAAAAAACTAACGTCAGTTTATAATTTATCTCTGCTGTTACTTTTTTTTTCTCCTTTTCTTAATGAAAGGAGATTGTTTGTGGATGTTTGAAAAAAATAGAAAAAATGAAAAAGAAGAAAATACAGGATGAAACATTTTATTGCAGGCTGTGACAAGAAACAAATGTACACCAACTTAAAACAGCTCTCCTTTCAGCTATGAATCGACTCTGTCGTAGGGAGGTTTTCCACCCCCCCTTCCCTTTTCTCACGAATATTTCCTCTCATCTCATCCTCTCGTTCTCGTCATCGTCGCAAATCCGGTCTTCTATGAAAGCAGACCTTTATATTATCGTTTGACACAATGAAGCTCTTTCATTAAAACACGGGTGCAAATCAAAGAACACTTCTTCTTGTATTAGCGGCGTAAATTAACGAAGAGACGACGTTAGATTATCTAAGACGTTACGTTTCACCGGTGATTTACGAATAAAGGACGGTTGAAGAACGGAGGAGTGGTAAATCCTCTTTATAACGTTCTTTGCAACGAATGTTAGTGGATTTTCCAAAGGGAAATCTGCATGCAGCAAAAATAGAATAATTCAAAATTCATCGAATCCAAGATAGTGAACGAACGTATCTCTATTCCATGGTTTCAGGACATTCCGTCAATGATTTTTTGTCCGGGCACCTGTTTAGTCCAGTAATTTACGTCCACGCTTAAAATAAGAAACAGTGACCTGGTCCAAAGGTTCTATCCCAGTCCGTATGTAAAATTAAATCGCCGATTTCGATTTAGAAAATTGAGAAAGAAGAGGGTGTTGTTATGCGGTAACTCATTCTTTTAATGAAATGTTACTTTCTTCTTTTTATTCATCTTTCAAATTTTTATTGGTGAATATTTGGTTTTACTTCTATCTATAAAATTGTCGATTTACAATATACGGTATATATATACCTTTTTTTAAATGATAATATTACTTCATTTTAAAAACATTATATTTTTAAAACGTGGCAAATATTTGTAAAAACTTTTCCAAGCGATGGTGTCGATATTAATCTCAATGAGCCGAACTTGTGTTGAAAGGAACTATGCAAAAATGAGACAGAGAGAAAAAACCAAGGAGAACGCAATCTTTGGTTCTAATCCACTTTTAAATCGATCTTTTACAGTCAAACACGTCCAATTTTGAGCGTGTGGTTGCGAATACACCACGCTGCAGCACAGTAAAAGCACAAAATATAAAGGAAATGTCCTTTAATACATTTTTTTTTTTTCATCAATTTAAATGAGAATAATCCGTGCATAACGTGCAAACATTTCAAAATCATTAGTTGAAAAACGCGGACTCCGCGAGTTTAAATATTATAGCCTAACACAGAGCGAAATGCGCACTGGCGCCTACAAACCTAACGGGATACTTCACGCGTTGCGTAATGCGTGAAGTATCCCTGTTAGGTTTGTAGGCACCTATGCGCGTGTCACGCTGGTCGCCCGCCGCGTCACGGAGTACTAAGGCGTTTCAAGAAACTATTTCGCAACATAGGTGCTGCACAGTATCATACGAGATTGAAGGCGCTTTAACGTATCAAGAATGACAAGCTTCCTTTAAGGGTACAGAGCTTTCCTTGCAAAATATCAAGATACTACGTTACAAAAAGAAAGCGGTAATCTAAAAAACTCACTTAGTCCTAGCATCCGTATTTAATAACTTTTAGCATAATTTTTGAATTTCATTTGAGAAAAATGTGGCTCGATTCAGGCAGAAACATTATTCAGTATGCCATCAAGAAGATTTTATTTTGAATCAAGAATAAAATAGCTGAATGAAAGCGGGTTTCTGCTTGATCTAAGTCACTTTTCTTTTTATTAAAGCATTCTTTTTTCTCTAAACAGGCATTATTTTCTTTATTGATTTATAAGAAAATCTTCTTGGCAGTAAATTTGAGCATATTTCTGCTTGAATCAAGTCACTTTTTCCTCTAATTAAGTTCAAAAACCATGCTAAACATTAGGTACTGGATCCAGATACTAGGACTTAGCAAGTTTTTAGACTACAGCTCTCTTTTTTTCGTTGTCACCGCTCGATTTAATTTGCTAGGGAGCTTCGCGCTTTTGAAATATGCCATCAATGGGCATACGTGGAGGTGTCTTCAATCTTGTATGATACTGTGCAACACTTTCATGGCGAAATAGTAGTTTGAAGCGCCGCGGCACGCCGGCGCCGTCGCGAAGTTATCGTACACAGGAAAATCTAAGAGCCTTTGGCTGAGGAAAACAAAAAGGTTCATCCGGTTCAGGTGTTAGAGGATGGGATTTTATTGAAAGATAATTAAGTCCTGTCGCACCACAGAGGTGTAGAGAGTTTTAGTGAATTTTCCCTCATGGAATCGACGCCAAAATTCTCAATTATATATTTGTTTCCGTTTGGTCAACCAAATAAATAAAAAACAAGCAAACTCTCATTCTTCCAAGACATTATACATTTCATCCAAAAATGTCGTGAGTAAATGTTGTTCTTTTTTACATGTTGACCAATTAACTTTGGGTCGCAATAATTGATAAGTGGACCAAAACTCCCCTGCCGACTAAACTCCAAGTAGTAATATAAATGTTAGGCGGAAACTAGTCAATGTTGAAATGGAGCAAAGTTTTTTGCCTGCATGAGAAATGACGAATTCTTTTACGTACATTTTTGAGACGTAGTCAGAACAGGACCAAGTGCACACAGAAAATAACCTTGGTTTTTATTGAGTCTCAAATTTGTCAATCTAGATATTCGAAGTTTTCAGACTTAGGAACCGAGGGCTGGGAAAAAAACAAGTTCCTTGACTTCAAAAGTTTGACTTACTGATTTTTGTCAGCTTCGTTCAAAGAAATTAAATACCAAATCAAAAGGTTCATGAAATTATTTTCTAGCATTTTAATAGGTACGTTTGATAAAACACTTCGCACAATGAAAATACTCGGCGGGTTGGATATTCGCGGAACACAGCAATCGTAAAGTTTAACTAGCAGCAACTGAAACCTAACTCAAACCAACAAGTCGTATCGATAGTCGCAATGTTTCATCTCTTTGCTTGATTCGACTGAAACTCAAAGTCTGTTTCACAAACCGCACGAACCGCGAGGGTTCCCTGACCGCTGCTGGCCCCAAACAAGCTTGAAACTTTTTGGGATTCTTCTCCGTCTGAACTCGCAACGGTTAACAGCCAAAAATCTCTTTATTACCATTGTGTGTTTCCCAACGCTCTCTTGAATTCACCCTTGCTAAAATTCATGACTTGTTAGAATAAATTACCGACTTTTACGATCATCCCATCCTTAATTAAATTTCTTCGAGTCATGACTTTATACGAGTATGTGACTACCCACGGAGAAAGGAACCTTAGTAACTCAGAAATGCGATACTAGCCCCAATGCTAAAAAGGACGAGAATTTCATCGGCTTTCAGACAAAGACACGTAACTTAAATCCAAAGTTGCCAAATTAACTCAAACAATTATTATTATTATTATTTTTTTTTTTTTTCAAAAACGTACCTGCACAATTTATATCCAAAATTTTTCTGATTTTTGCATGGAATCTGAGGGAAAATGAGTTACAGTTTCCTCCAGAAATGCACAAGATTCTACTGATTATATAATATATAATTTGCGAGGGGGAATTTGGCAATATTGTTATGGAGTTCCGTTCTTTCGTGAGGTGAATGACGATTTTTGGAGGAAATCTGTGGCAATATCCAAAACCTTGAAATCAACTAAAAAATGAAACGTTTTGAAGACTATGGTTCCAAAATCTTGTTTCAAGTGAAAACTACACTTTTAGCCCAAATATGCTGTGTTCTAGGGGTTACATTTTCCAATTAAAATGCAACTTAACTTCCTGTCTCATTCGGACAAAAATGAAATAAGCGTTTTGCAAAAGAGTTTTTTCCTTCAAAAATTCAACTTTCAACTTTTTGACCCACCTGGACGTAAAGAAATTGTCTCGAAACTCCACCTGTTTCCATCACTTGGACTATATTTTGCAATCCGGAACGACAATTTCAGGCTCATCGGTACAAGTACTTATGATGTGCATTGGGAAACTACTGGGACATACACGCTACTTCTAGACGGAGTTAGATATTGTAATCCCTATTTGCAAAATGCAGTCCACCTGATCTCAATTCTTTTTTCAGTGAAACCGCTGCACGTAACAATTCTAAGCGGGAACGAAATGCTCTCTGCAGAGAAATCAAAGCAAATCATTTGCGAGACTGCTGGATCACACCCAACAGCGAAAATTACGTGGCTTCTGGACGGCAAACCAATCAAGCATGATGCAAAAATGGTAAGTATTTTAATTATCACTCTATTTGAATTGTTAAGATACCTCAAGAAAAAAAAAGGTGAGGGTATCTACGATTTGTAGCAACACAGACAACAATATATTTTAGAGTGAAATGCAATCGGGTGGAGCAAAAGTTTAATTTTGAGGTCAATACTAATTTTCACCGAATGGTGATTGATGAGCAAATTGTTGAGCATAAGTCAAATAAAATTCACCTAATGATATCTGATGAGTGTCGGCATGGGCACTTTCATAGGCAAGTTTTTTCAAGGGAAATAAGCTGGGGTTTTTAGTCTCGTAAGTTGAAAAGTTGGCTTCGAAATTCTTCAATAAATTAAATGGGGGACTGTAGGACCGGATCGACGGAAAAACCGCAACGAACGGTATGGGAGTCTCATCAAAGGGGAGTAACACATTTGGCATGACACGCGAATCAATGACACGCGAATCAATGACACGCGAATCAATGACACGCTGCTGAAAGAGCGCCTCTCGGCTGGGTGCTATCGAATTATCTCGTCTCGTTTTACATATATCAGCGTGCTCACTGCTCGCGCTCACCTAGGTTGAATCATCGAATCCGAATGATTAAGTAATAAATGCGTTTCCTTGTCGAACAGCGCCCCGCGACACTGCGCTGCATTCGATTAGCAGCAGATGCTGAATACAGTCCTGACGTCACTCTGTCTATTTCCATTCAGTTCCCATGCATCGATCCTGTTAATTTGAGTTCGAACCAAAATTTACCGCTCAGAGTGCTGAAATCGGCCATGACGTCACTTTCAGCAGGTAGTCTGATTTTGTAGCAACATTCTTGTGACATTCGACGTATCGATTTGCGATGGCTCCAATATTTGATACACTGATTTGCGATTGTTCAAACTAAGACAGGTGAAAATTTTTAGAACAGTCGAAAAATTTCGTCTGATAAAATACAAATTTTCCGGTAAATCCGTGGATATTTTTCCTCCAATTTTTTAGAGGATTTTAACGCATTAAATTTACAGGGTAACGTCAGATAATACGATTAAATGCAATTAGTTTCGTTTTAGTTCTAAACCATGTAAATAGATATAAGGAATTACTTGTAGTAGTTACGTTATATTTAAATAAAATTTCTTTTAAAAAAAAAAAAAAATTAACGCGGTCAGATTTAAAGTATCTGAATCTTTCAAGAGAAAATATCGAAAGTTCTCCTTAAAAATGAGCATTTTACTGGAGCAATTTGGCAACACTCAAAAGTTCTTGCAACGTTTTTCTTAAAAAGACAGCGCACTTACACATCCTAATGTTGACATTAGTTGTTTTATAATATCACGAACGATGGTCTGTTTAGCAACCGTCATTTCCCGTATCATCTCATTCCGGACGCAAGCTCTCCTACTTTTTGACAGTGAAATTTCCAAACCACGTATCTCGTTTGCAGTGTTTGAAAATCTCCGGCTTTTTTTATTTTTTTAAAGGAGAACAAGTAAACATCATTCCTTGAAAATGTGTCAGAATTTACGTCACACAAAGAAGAAAAATCACTGGAGTTTTTAAGAATAGACGTTGAGTAATTTTTCATTTCAAAAATAAAGTATGATAGGAAGTCTACAAGGTTAGGTAGTAACTACAAGGAAAACCGAGATACGAGGTTTAGAAGTTCCACCCTCGTTATATCTTCACCTTCCGGCTAAAGTATCACAAGCGCCATGCGACGTTTCAAAATTTCCGCCGCCAGTTTATTTTTTCACAGAGAAGTGGTTCAACGAAGCTGTTCGAAAATTTCACTGAATTTTCTTTGTGCTGCCAATGAAATTCAGTGAAGTTTTCAAACAGATTCAACCAACAATTTCTCTGTAAAAAAATAAAACGGCGGCGGAAATTTTTAAACGTCGCATAGCGCTTGTGATACTTTAGCCGGATGGTAACGATATATCATATTTACACCAAAATAAGTTTATTAACAATCAATTGAGATGTTAAAGCACAATGAACAATAAACATATCACCCAGCGCACCCATCCACATTCATCCCTCACACTGCACCCGAACTAGGTCAACTCGAGCACCCGAAACAGCCAGAGCTTAAGCCGCGCGACGTTGTCTGTGGTGAGGCATGCTGCCTTGCTAAGGAAAAACGTCGTATGAACCTTCATGCGTTGCCAAATTTCCTCTGATAAAACACGAATTCCCTGCAAAATTCATAACTATTTTTCATCCATTTTTTTTGGATAATTTTGCTCGCAATTTCAACTAAAGCTCCTGAAAATTTCAAGGAAAAATATTCGTAAATTTCCTCGATAATAATCATTTTAGCGAAGGAAATTTGGCAACTCTTGAATGTTCATACGGCGTTTGTCCTTAGCATCGTGTGTGAGCGCGCGAGCCGGGAGGTTATGGATAAAGACAAAACACTGCTCAAGTCAAGCGTCGCTCTAATGAGTCACGCGCTAAGCAGACAAACTTCCCGAGTAAATAACGCCTCGCGATGTCTGGTGTCGTTCGGAATTCGTGCCTCTAATTTATCTAAAACTTCGGCCAACTTCCGGCTAAGTGGATTAGTATACCGAATCTCTCCCGCTGATATTCCGCCCTCACGCGCGCGCACCCCCCCCTCCCCCGCGGCCCACGTGTGTGAGGGTCTTTGTCACCTGAGAGGGGGTGGCCCGGGCACGGGGCTCACCTGGAGTGGCTACCGATCTGGATCTCAGGAGCCTCGAGTTAGTCACGTACTTGATTCTCCCCGCAGAATGTAACCGACACGTTTAAGGGTGAGGAGTTCGAGCTGTGGTTGGGGAAAGTACAAAACGACGTATCTCGGTTTGCGACGTTGATTTCCTGTCACCGTTCGATTTTTGAGAGAGTGACTTAGCTCCATTCCGAGGTTGTCAAATTTACTGGAACGACCAATTGGATTACATTTTGCAATGAGGAGCCGCTATTTCTGGTCAATTTTAGAAACAACATATATGCTATTGGTTTCCCTACGCAGATAGGCGTTTTTACAGAAGAGCCAGAGAGAGTGGTTCCTTATTGCAAAATTTAATCCAATTTGTAAGCGAATCGTCGTTTCCTAGACGAAGGAATGTGACTGAAGGAAGGTTGCAAAATTGACTCAAACAATTCAAGTTTTTAAGGGAATCAGCCTGCGTAATTTGCAACGAATATTTGTCTGATTTTTGCATGAGATCAGAGGGAAAATTGATGAAATTCTCAGTCGGAAGTTATTAAAATTTTCCTGGTAAAAGTGCAATTTGCGCGGAAAATTCTGGCAACACTGAAATGTAATTACGTTTTTTCGTGACAGGAACGACCATTTATTATTTTAGTTTACTCATTTTTTTTTCACCTGGAGGACCATTTTGCCCGACTCCGTAGCACAAAGGAACCAAGCCACATCAGTTATTTTCAAATTTAACCGAACAATTTAATTTTTACGCGAGAACTTATGTGCGGATTCCTTTGGAAATTTTCAGGAATTTACTTCGCACTGTGGAGAAAATTCACTACAATTTGCACGAAAATCCGCACAACCGTTTTCATGTATAAAAGTAAATTGCCCAATTAAATTTGACCATGGCTGATGTAACTTGGTTAGGTTTCTGCTTAACGCAGTCTAAACATAACTATATGTCTCTCTTAAAATGTAAAGAACAAGGGACTCGTGGCAATTTCTCGGTCGGCGAGCTGAGAAACACGACTCGTCATTGATTGTCAAGTTTTGATACAACTATTCGTGCTCTGCGGATGTCCGTGTTGCATACCCACAAAAATGCAGGCGTTTTGGTTTCTCTCGAGCATCACGATTAATACAGCTGGTTTTGGGCACCGCGTAAGCCATCTTGGAGGATCTCCTAGGCTACGCTCTGCGTATGTTAATAATAAGTGCTGCCACTTATTACCTTGATTTGCTCGTTATTTTCTGTTTAACGCGGTCCAAATATTCATAGGACGACTTTAATTTTATTCCACAATCAATAAATTAGAATGTACTGTTTATTGCAGGTAGCTGATGGCGTCAATAGCACGATGGGGACATTGACCTTCCGTCCCGAGGTAGACGACGATGGCAAGGAGCTCGTTTGCAAGGCTGAGAATCCGAAATATCCAGGAGCTGTTATCGAGGCGAAAACAATTATACGCGTGGCCTGTAAGTCATTTCATGAACCAATCCGTGCGCGGATAAAACGTTTTAGTTGACAGCTTTGTCGTAACTATTTCGTAATTTCCATTCTTTAACATTTCTGGAGACAGGAACTCCGTCGTCTCCACTTTATTTTTGTACATGTGCTTTTCACGTAATAATCTTTTTTTCCAAGCCTTTTGAAAAATGCTTTTGGAACTTTGGTAAGAAAAAATTGGCTTAGAAGAATTTTTGATCTTCCAAAAAAAAACACCGTTTAGTAACCAAAAAATGCATGTACGGAGCAAAAATTGAATGTTCAAATCTTAAAGGCTGACAGAAAAGATATTTTAAATGCTTGGTCATTCTTCTGAATATACTTTAATTTTACACTGATTTTTACATTTACACTAAATCATATTTAGGAGATCATGACATTAGCAACAAATTCATTTCGTATTCTCTGCATGGATCTACGGTAGTTCTTCTCATTTTCAATAAACCAACTAATGTTCTAAGGCCCAAATTTTTAAGATGATCCTTTTATCGACTTCCCCTTTTTACAATATCTTTAGTATCCCAAATTGAGGTAAAGGTTACTCTCTTCAACTAGTAAATTTGGGTGAATCTTTTTAACCTTGGAGGAATATCAAACTTCATCAGTTCAAGATGGAATATTCATTTAAGGTAAAGCGTGCTTGAAAGATCTGTAGTTGCTTACCATATTAACGTTCCCTCAGACATCTTCCACTTGCGATATCATTCGAAGTGCCAAAACAAGAATTTTGGTAATTGTTGTGCTTTGGAACAGATACATTCCTCTCCTAAGCACCAACTAGTTGCTCGGGAGAGAAAACATTTCTCTGGAGAACAACTTCTCTCCTAGGCAACTAGTTTTTGCTTAAGGATGAATACATTCCTGTCCTAAGCACCAACTAGTTAATTCATTTTTTTCACCCAAAGGATCATTCGGCCCAATTCTGCAGCACAAATATTTGTTTAGGACAACTTTGGTTATTTTCTCCGACCAGAATTCCCCAGAATTCTCTTAGAATTTTCCATGTCGGGAGAGAAAACATTTCTCTCTAACAATTACTAAAATTCTTTTTTTTGGCACTTTGAATGATACTGCAACTGAAAGATTTCATGTCAAGATGTCTGAAGGAATGTTAATATAGTTAACTAAAACAACTAAAGGATTTTTCAAGCACGCTTCATTTCAAATGAATATTCCATCTTGAACTTATGAAGGTTGATATTTCTCCGGGGATAAAAATATTCACTGGTTGAGGAGAGTTATCTTCACCTCATTTTCATAAAAGTGCTGAAAAAAACGCCAACCCCCGTAAACTTGATCCCCTCGCTCTGCACATACCTCAATCAGAAACATTTAAACCCACCAACACAAAAGAAAACGCAAACCAGTGAAGATTTCGCTTCTCCAAGAATTTTTTTTTATCCAATTAATTTTATCTCCTCAATTGATGAGAAGCACAACCCCGAGGTACGAGCACCAAAGTTGAAAGCAAATACTTCAGACGCTTTTAGCGCTACTCCGACTTAACATTTTGAAGAGGAGTTGGGTCAGCTGTTCAACCACGCCAGGCGCAAACCTCACATCTCCACCGGGTTTCATATCGGATCCACGCGGTTCAGACTCAGGAGGGCAGTGTTTGCATCTTCTAAAAATATTAAAAACACGTCATTAGTAATACCCGTTGAAAGGCCGAAGCCGTTTACTGAGCGAGGACCGAGCCATATGAATCGGCGAATGATAAAACCACGCATGTGTATCATCCGATGAGCCCCAGAGTATAGGCATGATTATGGGATTCGCGGCTCGTGTGGAATGCGACTTATGGGGTTTTAGCGTGGATCCGGCCATATGCACTTAATGCTCCTTCCCGGCTGGGAATTTCCATAAAAATGAAGCGAGCGGAGGGCGGCGATTGTTTCTGGCTGGAGACTGTGAAATTATCGCCTCGAAACATTCTTATATTGCACTCGAGTCTCATCTCGAGATTTTATTAAAAGTTAGATCATAAAAGCAGTTACTTTAAAAACGTGTCGAAACGGTTAAAAAGATTTAGTGTTCTCCTCGCGGGCTCCACGTGATTGGTGAGGATTCCGGAATTATTCTCGAGTTGAGTTTCCTTGTTCCTCGATTATATCGATGATGAAAGCAGGAAATTCGCACGGTTCGCACTCAGGGCGCACGGACTTCGGATTTTTCACGGAGAAAAAAACCTCGCGCGTGGGACCCGAAGTTTAGGTCATATGGATCTCTGAAGTTTTCGGATTGAGCATCTCAACACTTTAGGTCTAGCTGTGGAGGTTCGGTTCACACATCTAAAACTTCAGTTCTTACATCTGAAGTACTTCAGATGTGAGAACCGAAGTTTTTCGGATGTGAGAACCGAAGTTTTTCGGATGTGAAAACCGGAGTACTTCAGATGTAAGAACTGAAGTTTCAGATGTGTGATCCAAACCTCAGCAGCTGGACCTAAAGTGTTCAGATGCTCAATCCGAAAACTTCAGAGATCCATATGACCTAAACTTCGGGTCCCACGCACGAAGTTTTTTTCTCCGTGTTGAAAAACATTTATCTCATAAAACAGACTACATTTCGCACTTCGTTGACAATTTCTGATTCAGTTCAGAAAACAACGTATGTGCCATTAGGTTCCCTACGCACATACGCGTTTTTACGGATGAGCCAGAAATTGTAGTTCCTAACTGCAAAATGAAGTCCAAATATTCTTGCAATGGCGTACTGAGTCGTATAGTTTGAACTCATACTGAGTGTAGTATGGTCTTTGATGTTGTACATTTCTTATCTAATATTTTTTTACTTTCTTAAAATGCAATCGAGTGCTATTCGTACAAGAACATGATGTGATTGTGATATCCACGTCATTTCAAGAATATTTGGACTTTATTTCTCAATTAGGATAACTACAATTTCTGGCTCATCCGTAAAAAACGCGTATGTGCGTGGGGAATCTAATAGAACACACTTTGTTTCTGAAATTGTATCAGAATTATAACCGAGTCAGAAATTGTAATTCCAAATTGAGAAATGTAGTCTGTTTCATAAATGTTTTTCACAGATATTAGGAAGTATTAGTCTCCTGGAAAAATCAAACATGAGAGCAAATTTTAAAATACCGGAAACAATATAAGTGCAACATAGTTCTGTGATTGATGTGATGATGATGACGATTATAATATAAACTTCTAGGTTTTCTTAAGAGAGAAAAAAAACAAGAGCGTCCAAAAGTATTCGGTAAAATTAAAATTTGGTTTCTATTTTGCAACAGTCAATCTACAGTTAAATGCGTCAATTTTAAAACTTTATACATCCGTTTCCTGACGGTAAGGCAAAAGCAAAGACTTTAAGGATCAACAGGAAATAGCCATTTTTGAACATTTTAGTCATATTTAAACATCAATAACCAATACTTTATACAATGACGATTTTTAAATGCTTTTTTCCGATTTTTTTTTTAGATGCTCCAACCGTCTCCGTGTCTGTGGGATCAGATGTTCCTTTGGACCAGTTACAAGAAGGAAGTGGTGTTCAGTTTACTTGTGAGGTGCATTCTAATCCTCCTCCTGACCGAATCACATGGTTTCATGGGGTAAGTAATATATTCTGCAGTCAAATGGGTCGGCATAATGGTAATTAGACTGAATGTTGCAATTAGGAACTCAGTTTAGAGACAACGTATGTACCATTAGTTTCCTCATGCACATACGTGTTTTTACAAATAAGCCAGAGATTGTGGTTTCTAATTGCAAAATGAAGTTCGACTGATCCACAGAAATCAATGATACCTCTAGCGATTCTCCAAATGTTGTCATACTTCTTCATTCCAAACCGTCGATTTCCTTTGACATTTTTGTAGTGGCGAATGCATAGCTGAAGTGCGCTCCAGCTAGAATTGTATTTAGCAAATGGGTGGTTTTTATACGAGGATTAAAAATAAACAAGTGGTACGGAACAAAACAAAATAATATGAACTATACAATGGACCGTTAATTGATTTAAATTTCTGACCGAACTGTCTTCTAACGCTTCCGTCAAATTAAACACAAATTTATTGAGTTGCATTAGCTCGTAAAATCAGTCATTCTATTAATTTTGTGCTCCAATTTCTTGCGAAACTACAAAAATGATATCAAAACTTGGCTCTTTTGAAAACGCCTTCAAATGCGGCGTGATACCTTACGCATTCCGGAAAGTTCAAATAGTTGTATCATTGCGCCTTAGAAATGCGACGGCAGATTACAATTGAAATAGCCTCCATACACGCTAGTCTTGTCGATTTCCTTTGACATTTTAGTAGTCGTGAATGCATAGCTAAAATGCGCTCCAGCCAGAAGTGTATTCAGCAAATGAGTAGTTTTTATAGGAGGATTGAGAACAAACAAATGGTAGGAAATAAAACATAATAATAAGAACTTTGCAAAACGATAATTCGAGTATCGGAACTTGGCTCTTTTGAAAACGCCTTCAAATGCGGCGTGATACCTCACGCATTCCGGAGAGTTCAAATAGTTGTATCATTGCGCCTTAGAAATGCGACGGCAGATTACAATTGAGGACACCGCACGGTGCGGTTCTTGGTGCGGTCCGCACCAAGAACAGCCTATAGGCGTATAGGTCGTTATTACGCTCATGTGCTTTTCGGATTCTACGTACCCTGGACTATGCTGGCGGGAGCTATAGAATATAGATAGGTCACGGCTCGAGGTCGAAAACCCTTTTTTTTCCGAGTTAAGTCAGCCCTCTGGATCGTTGCGGTGCAAAAACGACCTCTAAATGGGCCTATAAACTTAAGGGCCTATTAGGTGCTAGTTACCCCTTCCTTTACTTACTATCGATATTCTTTCATTTTACGTTAATCATGCGTGAATAAACCCAAAATGTATCGCAAAATCTACCCGGCATCCTTCAATAGAAGGGTTAGGTCACCCAAAAACACCAAAACAGGGTACCTGCATAGAAAAGTCTGCACAGTACATCAAAAACAAAACTTTAAAAGCGTTTTTCTCAAAACGCGGTTTCCAGTTATAGGCTGTCCTTGGTGCGGTGTCCTCAATTGAAATATTCATTAGTGTTTTGAAAGAAACGTGATTTGATGGAGTAATTGCAGACGTCTGTGATGAATTTCAAACAAGGAAGAGTACAAATGAGTGAGCTAAACAAGAGAATATCCTCGATTTCCAGATTTAACAATTTATTTCATAATTCATCACTGAATGGTTCGATCTACCAATTAACATTAGTGTATTCTAATCGGCATTTCCAGAGTGGTGAAGTCATTATGTTTAAATATACTCTTCCCCAATATCCCATATTAGAAATAAATAATGAGAACATCGTGCTCTTTCATACGACGCAATAGATCGTATTCGATAGTGGTTCAACCTGTCGTTTGGTTCAAAACAATAGAAAATATCCCCAAACAAAAATTTCAGAGTGTGAGTTAGAAAAACTGAAAAAGAGGAAAATCCGAAGAACTTCACTTTTCATTGTCGTATGGTGCTCATAAAAATAAAAAGTCAATCACAAAAATCCGTTCCCATACATTACTCGATTGACTTTTAAGGCTATGTTAACATGTGAACCAATCCATATCGATGCCATCTCAGCAATAGAATGCCTTTGATGTATCGAACTCGACCCATAAACTCCTCTCGCATAAAGTCTTATCGGAGTGTATTCGGCAACATTAGATTCGTCACAGCTTTTCTGCCTTATCGTAACAGAATTGTTCATTGTTCACAGATTCGAGACATTCGATTCAAAATATTTTCGCGGCCCACGCTTGGGAGTCCGAGGGACATTTCATCATCTTTCGGCCAAAGTAACACAAGCGCCATGCGACGTTCCAAAATTTCCGCCGCCATTTTATTTTTTTACAGAGAAACTATTCAACGAAGCTGTCCGAAAGTTTCACAGAATTTTCTTTGCGCTGCCGATAAAATTCAGAGAAATTTTCAAATAGATTCAACCAGCAATTTCCTTGTGAAAAAATAAAATGGCGGTGGAAATTTCGAAGCGTCGCATGGCGCTTGTGATACTTTGGCTGAAAGGTGACGATTTGCTGAGTCGGTCGATAGCCTTTGCGGCCTTTATGGGCCATTCGTCCCGAAACGTAGTACGCACCTTTGCCGTTTTAATGTCTCCAGTCAATCTGCGTGACCTAAATAATGCGCATAACCTCCGGTTTCAGATTGGATTCGCGGTTTCATTGTAAGGTTCGAATTTTCGTGAAACGTCATAAAAAGGCGGCGCGTCCGGTTTTGCATAACATCGGTCGAGATTATTCCGGGAGGGGCGAAAACTGTGCCGTTTTACAGCTTTTCCTTGGGTCGGGCATTTGCATTTAAATTTGTGCGGGTGCAAGAAAGTTGTCCGACGGGTGTGAGAAAAGGCTGCCTTTCATCTCTTACGAGTTCACGAGAATTTTTTCTTTGCCCTTCTGTCCGATCGCACAGGCCGTTGTTCAGGACAATAAAAGCTTCCAACACTGAAAAAAAGAAAAGAATCTTGAATTTGCCGCCAAGAGGTAATTCTTCTTAAATCAAGAAATTTCCTGGTTAATATGAGCTATTTTTTTGCTTAACCCTAGCATTATTTGTTTTGTATCAAGAAAAAGTCAGTTCATAGCAAGATAAAAAAAATTCTTGGCGGCAAATTCAAGAATCATCATGCTTGATCCAAGCTACTTTTTTTTCAGTGAAGGGTGTTTTCTTAAGGGCCTCTTCTTCAGGCAATTTTACAATTTTTTGCAAAGCGTTCACTAAAAAAAAACATTTTCTTGAGATATTATTCTGACCTAAAGCGTCGCTTCTTGTCGAAAAAAAAATTGGTTTTATTTAGAAAGTTAAATCCGTGCGAATTTTACTTGCATTCAGTTGTTTTTGTTAAAAAAATGTTGTTTTAGTTATCTATTTTTTAACTTAAACTTAACGATACCGAATTGAAGCTTTTTTAACTAAAGTAACTGATGTTGAGTTAAATTTTCACGGATTCAACGAAAACAAAGAACAAATTCCGTTGCAAAGAAACGATGCTTTAATTCAATATAATATCTCAAACATTTTTTTCAGTGTTTCACTATTTCCTCGATGTCGGCGGCTGAAGATGAAAAGTAGGTAGCTTAGATCGGGAAGTCATAAATCTCCGTTCGTGTTATATGACTTTAAAGGAGAACCAACCGATGGTTTGAATCGAATTGTTTTGGTGAATTTCCTCCTTTAATAAAAACAAATCACACAAAATTGCAAAGGAACATTAGGACTAGTTTTTCTTGAGCAAAATAAAACACCTCCGAAGTTTTTTTAAACGTTGCAATCGAACAAAATTTTGCAATGAGCGAATACTATTTCTGGCTCCTTAATGATAGCGCATTTAGAAGGGCCTATTTGCTGTTTCTTGAATGATGTAGAAATAGTAGCTCCTTTTTTAAAACCATAGACCAGTTGAGATACGCATTTATAAGGCATCCATGCACTCGTGCATTGATACCGGGGGCATGTATCATTAGTGCCTTTTTGTTTAGATAAATATTGTTTTCTTGCGAAAAGAGGGGCAGAATAAAAACCGAATATGAGACGTAGTAATTTTTATAGGACGTCTCGATCAACACTGTGCAAAGAAAAAGTGTTCATGTGCTTCAAGAACGCGCATTGGATCGTACGGAAGTTGTGATCAGAGCGGATTTGCCAGCAACGCCTTAATGCAACTATTCTTCCTTCGATGCTGCCTGAGTTGCATACGAGAAAAATTGAAGGCGCTTTGACTTTCAGCACGCTTTTTGTGAAATGTGTTGTTGTTGGGTTGCTCTGCACAACACCTGTAAAAGTCCTATATTGATAAAGACTGCTCTGATCATACACTGAAAATAAATAGCTCTGTTCATAGGCCCTGTGACATCAGGCTCCTGCAATTTCTTTGTTACAGAAGTTTCCGTTTAGAGGACAAAGTACTCTGTCCTCACGACCAAAGTTCTGTTCCCTCGACAGGAAAATTCTGTGAGTATGACAAAAAAGTGCAGGAGCCCTATGAACAGAAGGTTCTGTCATCAGCACCGATTATTTTTTTGCGTATAGAGCGCAAAATAAAGGAGTCGCGCAATCAAAAGTGTAACAGTAGTGGACCCCATTTTATCAGACACCATCTTTTCTTTCTCGATAACGTGCGTTAAATAAAATGTAAAAATACGCAACCTTGAATTTGTATTTTGTGAGTTAATATCGCCCCTAAATCGGGGAAAATTCCCGTAAACTATGTGCACCTCTTACTTTTCAAGCATTCAAATTACTGAGCAAGCTCATTCTTTCCTAGTGACACAAAAACCCCCAAAAATGAGTAGGATTCTGGAGCAGTTTTGCTGCGTAACGCCATTAGCCGCGACCGAAGGAACAGATACTCTGCCGTGCTGAGGAAAAACGCCGTATGAACCTTCAGGCGTTGCCAAATTTTGTTTGATAAAACGCGAATTTCCTGGTAAATACTTGAATTTTTTCCTCCCAATTTTTCAGATAATTTAGTTCACAATTTTACCGAAAGATTCTGCACATTTAAAGGAAAAATATTTATAAGACCCCTCCAAAATAAACATTTTATCGACGGAAATTTGGCAACTCTCGAATGTTCATACGGCGTTCCTCCTTAGCACGGCAGAGATACTGTCAGGTCCTCACGGAAGTATCTGAAATAAAATCGGTGGAGACACGAAGCGTTTTTTGCCCACTGCAAGAAAACCCCGGAAAAAACGACGGGCAGAAATTGTCGAAGAAGCTTTAGTCGAGTAAAATAATAGGTTTGGAAGCGTCTTTTATTATTCGAGCCACTGGAGTAGCTATCTGAGCGCGAGTTCGAATCTTTTCTCCAGTTTCATAGCGGAGCTCCGCGATTCGCGAATAGTTCTTGTAAGTCCTCTAATCGTTTATTTCCTCGGTAATTGCAGTCGGACTTTCGGTAAATCCCCCTCATTACACGAGGATTGTATTTTCTCCTAATTTGGCATGAGGAGCTCTGTTTTATTTTTGAATCGACTCCGCTGCGTTTTCCTTAATGTTTGCGTCGGATCGAGTGCAGATTGTAAGCCAAACTTCATGAGGACATAACAATTAGATGAACTTTATTAGGGACAGCTGTCCGTGTTCTCTTGCAGTTCGTAGCGATGTTTTTGGATCCAAACCAAAGCTCTCCAGTTCCACGTGTTTTATTTTTGTGTGTGTAGAATGTAATTCTAGCAAAATTTTAGAAAAGTTAAAGCCCCCTATTTTCGGCCCTGTTGACCACATAGCCGTCTAAGTATCACTGCAAATCAGGTATCGGAAAAAAAACACAATAAGGGAACAGAGCAAAGGAATTGACACGCGTCGATGACGGCGCATAGATACAACTATTCGTACGTGATGGATGTCCGGGTTGCATCTGCAAAATTGTAGGCGCGATGGTGCGAGGCGTGAACTCCGCTCTATGCGTCTCTCGAATTTTTAGACCCTGATTTTTTTTTCTTTCTTTCAATTTGACGCCCTACTCTTTCTTTTATGATGTATGTTTAGACCTGTATATTAAGCTCGTACGTACCGGACCCATACAATCCGCGAGGCACGTGTTCTTAGAATGTCTCGGGTCGATTTGACCCGACTTTGGCATCTAAGGGGCCGTTCAAGTATCACGTAACGCACTTTATTCGATTTTTTTACCTTCTCTCCCCTTGATACGCACCTGTAACGCAGCCATACAACCCTCCATTTGAATTACGTAACGCTGGCCTGATCCTCCCCCAATTTTAAAACAATTAAGAAAACGCTGAGAAAACAGCTCGAAAAATATTCGGGTTTTCTTTTGAGATATTTCGCTGAAACACGGCATGAAGAGATTAACAAAAATGCATGATTAGATTTGTTTTATTAATATTTTCACCGGAAAAGTGCACTTGGACAGTATTAAATAAGTTACCCACACTTCAAAAATAATATTGAAATTAAAAAAAAGAGAGTTTCCTTTCAGGCAGATTTATTCGGGAGGGCGAGATTTTCAATGTTTTGCCCGTTATTTTCAAAGTTTCTTTTTTCCCGCGGTTCGGATTTTTTACGTGACGCTGAGCTTGACCCCCTTCCATCCCCCTTGTAACGCACCGTTAATCTGGCTCAAATCCCCCTCTTCCTAGGTCCGTTACGTAATACTTGAACAGCCCCTAAGGATTAAAACACATCTTTACGGAGTTGTGTTTTTTTCTATATAAGACGCACTTACAAGCCGATGGGATGTGAAATTCAATTTCGCTCTACAAAGTAGCTTTGCCCGGCAATTATTTTCCGATTGCTCCCGTTCGACACAACATCGCTCTCCCCACATAAGGGCGTAACTACACCCTCGATGAGCCCTGTCGTCCATACATCTTAATGCTTTTCCGGGCTCATGTCCATGTGCAGTTACGCCCTTATGTCAGGGAAGCGACGACAAGTCGCTTTGATGAGGGGTGCGCACGTAAGTTAACGGATGTATGCCGCATCACGTATTCGATGACGCTGAGCCGCCTTCCGCCCTAAATCGTTCCGCTGTCGTCAAAAGCGCGTATCACACTACATTCACACGAACATTGAAAAGCACATCGTCATACGAAACATATTACCGAGCTGAGGAAAATCGTCGTAACTGCGTTTGAATGTCGCCAAATTGTCTCTGATAATGTACACATTTTTTGGAAAGCTTTTGATTTTTTTTCCTTTGAAATTTTAAGGAAATTGCGTTTACAAGTTACTCTGAAATGTCGTAAAACCTTGAGAAAAAATATAAATTACTTTTCTCCAGGAACGAATTTTTATCGAAGGGAATTTGGCAGCATTTGAATGTTCGTGCTGCGTTTTCCCCCCGCACGTCATGCTGCCGTGCTAAGGAAGAACGCCGTATGAACATTCGAGAGTTGCCAAATTTCCTTCGATAAACCGTTTATTTTTGGGGAAAGTTCTGAATATTTTTCCTTGAAATCCTCAAGAACGTTGGGTAAAATAACGAACCAAATTGCCTAAGAAATTGGAAAACAAAAATTCATATGTTTACCAAGAAATTCGTATTTTATCAAAGGAAATTTGGCAACGTCTGATGGTTTATACAGCGTTTTTCCTTAGAGGCATGATGGAGCTCATCCTAAAATGAAGTTACGTTCTTGTAGGGGGGAAGGGGGGATGAAATAGCGTAAACAAACATCGGTTGTTCGGGTTAGCGGGAGGAAGTGTTAGCGCCGTAACCGCCGCCCCGAATTCGGAAAATATTGAAAGGGCAATTTTTCCTCCTCGGGAGGCAGCCCCTGATACTTGCACCTTGATAAGGAAAGAATCGCGCGCGCATGAAAAAGTCATTTTCTTATATTAAATTTGAAAAATATGAATCGCTGTTTTCCGGGTTGTCTTTTTTTGGTGGGCTATAAAACTAGGTCAGAGGCGCGTGTCACGGTTATTTGTTTTCTGTTACGCGAGGCTGTGATACAGGCAGTAATCTGCCTTCCCCGGGCGAAATTGGGGGGACTGGGCCATTGTGGTGCCTAAAAAGTTAGACAGATTTAACTCGCAATCGGGATAGCCCGTATGCAATTTAATTTGGCCCCTAAAAAATAGACGTCTCCTAAAAATTGGGCTTTCTGGCCATGGTGGCTCCTAAAATTTTAGGGGGAAGGCAGGACACTGGATACAGGGTGTCTAAGCTGCACTGTAGAGAAAAAACGCCGTGTGAACCTTCAGATGTTGCCAGATTTCCTTTCAGAAGAGTGAACTTGACCGGGAAAATTGCGAATATTTTTTTCAGAAATTTCAGGCAATTTTGTTCGCGATTTAATGTCATATATCTGAAAATTTCAAAAAGAACTTTGCAGAACTTTCCTCACAAATACATATTTTATTCGAGGGAACATGGCAACTCTCGAATGTTCATACGGCGTTCATCTCTAGCACGGCAGTAAGGGTTCAACCATCAGATTGCATTAGCGTGTTGTATGGATCAAAATGAGAATTTTCTGCATAAGTTTTTTCAATGACATTTATCGAGCTGTTTTTACTATTCCGCAACGAAAGTAAGGCGAAAAAATTTCAACAATTTCATTCACAAATTTCCAAAATTCCTAACTTTAAATACAATTATTAGAAATGGAATATCCTGGAAAAATCAGTAATTTAACCAAGCATTTTTCAGGTCGTAGACGACTAAAAAAGACGAAAACACTGAGAAAACATTCCAAAGGGTCGCAAGACGGCAGTAGCGTGGCGTGCATTGCGATATATCGATCAATCTGCCATTTAAACCTACGGAAAAGGATCGCTAAACAGGATGTTCGCAACAAACACCTCAACAATCGATTCCTTACCATAGCTTCAAATGAGGATAAATAGAGAATCGATAATTCACGCCTCGCAAGAGGGAAGGAGAAGGCGCCAGATAAATTATTAAAACCAACCTTGCCTTGAAGGATCTGATCCATGGGAAACCAGAGGGGTTTTTGCATGAATAGTCACCCTTGCCGGCTCGCTCGAGGCACTCAATTCCCTCGCGTGGAACTCTTAGGAATTTTTGGCTCGATTTGGCACCTACGGACTCGACGAGAGGGAAGTTAACTAGTTATTTGCATCAGGGAATATAGTGGTGCGGGTTGCATGCACTTAAGGCGTAACGCAACGGGCGAATTCTTGAGAGGAGGTGGAGGAAACGACCCCCGCCACCGCCGTCACTCGGGACCAATGTTGATGCTTGAAACCGTGCATTATGTTAATAATGATTGATAATTTTTGTCTTCCCGCCCGCCGTTTCTTCCAGGTTTCTTCTCGAGAGAAAGTTACACTATGTGTGATGTGCATTGGATTACATTTTGCAATGAGGAGCCACACTCTCTGGCTCTTCGATAAAAGCACTTTCTGCACAAGGAAACCAATTGCACGTATATGTTGTTTCTAAAATGAGCCTGAGATAGTGGTTCTTTATTGCAACATTTGGTCCAATTAGTTGGATCGTTGTTCCCACAACAAAGATTTCTTTTAATGTAGCTTCCCCTTATTTGTCGTCATTTTAGGCACACGCTCAATGCACTGATCCGGCACTTTTCGTCAAAATCTGGTCACTTTTTCGCGCTGCATATCTTAGTGAGTGTGAACAGTTTCGGATATTGGAATACAGAAAGTCGGATTGTCGGGGTTCTACTGTATTTTTTCCCAACTACGTATACAATTTTCCTCGCGGTTCAACCAAAGCACCTGAAGATTTCAAGGAATAATATTCAATTTTTTTTCGAAAATGAATATTTTAAATGGAGGATTTTTGAAATATTTGAATGTCCATACGGCGTTTAATGTTTAGTCTATAAAATAAGTGCTTACAGTTTCGAGCTTTTTAATCTTAGAAGTTGTAATTTATTCTTATTTTTGTGTTTTCACAGAACAAAGTGATCGAGGGTAGCACGGATCGAATACTCTTATTAACGTCCTTGACGAGGGAGCTGGCTGGTGACTATTCATGCCTTGCGAGCAACAAAGAAGGTGCATCAAAAAGCACCCCAGTGCGAGTGACTGTCAGACGTGAGTATCCTAATTGGATTAACAAATACGATTGCTGAACTCCAAAATCTTGTATGTCAATTACAGCGTTTTAAATTTTTCGCGTATACTTCATGTTTTGTACCAAGAAAAGGAAAGCAACCTCGGAAGCAAAATAATGTTCTTCGGGCATTTTTCGAAATTACGGCCCGATTAAACACTCCACAATTCTGCACATTCTTGGTCAACATCATTGTACATGGCCTGGCCACTCAGATAGGATATACAAGAGCGCCTTCAATCCATTGCGTAATCATAATGCGAAATTTTGATACCACTATTCGTGCGTCAGGACAGTCATTTTGCATATTCGGCTAATTGAAGGCAAATCATTGGCCCAGACAACATGGTACACATTGCAGCAGTGTCATACGTTTTGATAACGCAGACAAACATCCGGGGCTGCCCCGCCTGCGGAGCGATTATTGAAATTGATGGACAAAGCGATAGACAAAGAAGACATAGGGAGTATGGAGCGATCTTATTGGTTGACATGGTTGGTTCTTATAGACTAAGGAAGAAAATGATGGACTAACTGTCGGGTCTTTAGTGGGTTGCCGTTAGTTAGTCCATTACCTACCTCCTATGTCCATTGCCACCACCTGCTTCCACCAATAGGATCCCTCCAAATCCCTTTTGTCGTCTTTGTCTATAGCTTTGTCTATCAATTTCAATAATCGGCCTGCTGGCTTTCATGGAGCCGAACCCTCGAGGTGCGTCCCCTGGCATCGAAAGAGACCGACCCAGAGGATTGCCCCGCCTGGTAACGAAAGGGTATGTATTCGATTGACATGAATCGAACGATGAATAAAAACGTGAATTCATCAACAGAGATTCAACAGACATTAAACAAAAAAGCTGATCAAAATCAGTAGAAAACAGCATTCACCATGAAAATTTCAAATTGTGGTATCTCGAAAGTTGGATCAGCCAAGATTTTGATTTTCCCCGATCTTAAGTCCACACTTAGCATAGACTCACCCCCTGTAAACCGTTTATGGCTAAATTTTTGTCGCATGTTTTTGGGCTTCAAGACCAGTAGCGTGGCGATCTATCGATTGATCTTATATACGTATTTACTCGTATGGAAAGGAACGTTAACCAGGATGCTCGCAACGAACACCTTTATAATCGATCTTTTGCCATAGCTTCAAATGGGAGGACATAGCGATAATTATTCATTCACGTCTTTTGCACTGACTTTAACTTGACTACCTTTACCTTTAAATGTTCAACCAACGGAAAAGTTTCAAAAAGGTATCTTATTTGTAAATAATAAAAGAAAAACATAGCCTTGATACCTTTTTTATAAGTCCTTTCTCCTACATATTTATTAGTAAACTGTAATAAACTTATAAAAAAGGTATCAAGCCTATATATTCCCCTCATTATTTTAATGATTACATCATAAAAGTTACCTCCTCAGAGTCTCATCGTAACAGTCAAGATTTTTCAGTGAAAAATTGTGTGCGGAAAACTAAGAATGAGGTCCTCACAGGGTGGCATGAAATGTAAGAGAGAAATGAAAGATTGGAAATTTCAGTGAAATATTTCATAAAATTTCATGATGCTGTAAAATATTTCATATTTTTAAGGGGCTAGGGTATGAAACCCGCACTCATACACATAAAAATAGAAGAGAGTCACAATTTTTACATTTTGCGAACATGAAAAGGAACCGGTATCTTTCAATATCTTTGATAAATTTCTGAAATATATTCACGAAATATTTCACGTGTTTCAAGAGTTCATTTTTCATGAAATTTTGCCACCCTTGGTCCTCACAATAAATGTATAGTATTCCCCGGCGTGCCTGTCCTTAATAATTTGACTTAATCATAAATAGCAAAGACGAGTTATATCTGATGTATATGCAATGGTAACCCACGTGGCGATGAAAATAAAGGCAAACGGACTCAGATTTCTTGCCAACTATGCAAATTCTCCGCATTGCTCTTATTTCCTCGTTCCCAAACGCTGCGCGGAGAACTCGGGAACTCTTATTCTATTCGAAGTCAGTTAGTGAGAGATATCCCCTTTCAGCCAAGTTCGGTTCACTTCCGTTCTCGGTTGGAAAAGCCGTGGAAAATTGGAGGGGACATGGAAAAACTTCGCTTATTTACTGAATGTTTCGGGCGGTTTTTGCATCAACGCAGCGAGAGAAAAAATTACGAAGCTGCCTGCCATGAAACGCTCGCTCTCAACTCTCCTGTTACGATGTGCGACGCGCCAAAATGCAACGGTGGTTTTCTTACAGCCGCTGTCGATAAAAATAGTGTCCTTAGTTTGCATGCTACGGAAAAACGCCGAATGAGCATTCAGATGTTGCTAAATTTCCTATCTAAAATCTGCATTTTTAGAGAAAATTATGAATATGTTTCCTTGCAATTTTAGACTCCCAAGGTCAAATTGCGAACAAAATTCTCTGAAAACTTGGCAGAAAAAAATGTAGATCTTTTCCCATGAATTCGTGTTTTATTGAAAGCGATTTGGCAACCTCAGACGGCTCTTGCGGCTTTTTTTCCCTGGCACGGCAGTTAGAGCATTTAACTGAGAGTATCATTGATCGAGTACCATATTATGAGAGTATCATTGGCGAGTCGTGAATATCCATTGTCGAGATTTCCCCATTTGAAGGCGTGGTAAAGAATCGATTATACAGGAATTCGTTGCGTCCATCCTTTCTATCGATCCTTTTCTATGGTTATAGGTCATTTCGTCAACGATTTTTTGTCCGCATACCTGTTTTTTCCAGTAAGTTACGCCCACGCGTTTTTTTGGCACGGGAGTTTTGGTCCACGTGCCAGTTGGAACCCAAAGTTAATTTGCCCACATGTAAATACAAACGACGATTGCTCACGACGTTTTTGGATGAAAATGTATAATGTCTTGGAAGAATGAGGGTTTGCTTGTTTTTTTGTTTTGTCTGTTTGGTCCAACGGAGAATAATATACAGGGTGGCCCAGACCTACCGTACCAGGCCTTTTTTTCGGTTAATTTGGGTTGTACGAAGTCCAAGATCGCGGGGATGAATAGGGAATCGACCCCAAGAAATCCGAATTTCATGGTCCCAGAGCCCCCCTGGCGTCCCTTGGGGGGTAAAAGGGGGGTTCGTACTTCAAAAGTCAGAGTTTATGTCAAAATTTTGAAATTATTTCATCGAAATCAGAACGTACGGAAATTTTTAACGTAAATCGACACCAAGAAATCCAAAATCGGCGTGCATCCGTGTCCAAAATACCGACCCCTAAAGGTGGGGGACGGAGCCCCCTTTCAAAAAATTCAAGTTCGTTAAATTGACGTGGAGACCCGAAAAAAATGTGTATTCATGGGTAATCGACCGCAAGGAATCCAAATTTGAGGGTCCCGTTGTCCTCAGAAACTTTTCTGATGAGGCACAGGGGTCTCTGAACTTTTAAATTTAACCGGTGTGAAGATTACCCCTGTGCCCCATCAGAAAAGTCTCTGAGGACAACGAGACCCTCAAATTTGGATTCCTTGCGGTCGATTACCCATGAATACACATTTTTTCCGGGTCTCCACGTCAATTTAACGGACTTGCATTTTTTTGAAAGGGGGCTCCGTCCTTCACCTTTAGGGGTCGGTATTTTGGACACGGATGCACGCCGATTTTGAATTTCTTGGTGTCGATTTACGTTAAAAATTTCCGTAAGTTCTGATTTCGATGAAATAATTTCAAAATTTTGACATAAACTCTGACTTTTGAAGTACGAACCCCCCTTATACCCCCCAAGGGACGCCAGGGGGGCTCTAGGACCATGAAATTCGGATTCCTTGGGGTCGATTCCCTATTCATCCCCGCAATCCTGGACTTCGTACGACCCAAATTAACCGAAAAAAAGGCCTGGTCCGGTAGGTCTGGGCCACCCTGTATAGTTGAGAGTTTTGGTAAAAATGGGGGAGCGTCAATTCCATGAGACAAAATTCACTAAAACTCTCTACACCTCTTTGGTGTAACAGGACTTAATTATCTTTAAAGAAATTCCCACCTTGTCATACCTGAACCGGATTAGCCTCTATATTTGCCTCAGCTGAAGGCTCTTAGATTTTTCCTGTGTACGATAAGTATCTTGATTTATTTTGCGAGGAAAGATCTGTACTTTTAAAGGATGCATGTTATTCTTAATACGTTCAATTTCGTATAATACTGTGCAACACCTCTGTTGTGAAATAGTTGCTTCAAGCGCCGCTAGCGCGAAACACGCATTGGCGCCTACAAACCTAAGTGGATACTTCAAGCATTGTACAATGCGTGAAGTATCCACTTAGGTTTGTAGGCGCCAGTGAGCCTCTCGCGCTGGCAGCACGCCGCTCCGCTCTGACCGACTAAAATATAACGCTTGGACCAAGTCACTGTTGCTTATTTTACATGTGGGCGTACACCACTGGACAAAAAAGGTACGCGGACAAAAAATCGTTGACAAAATGTCCTGAAACCTTTTTCACAGGTTTAAATGACAAATCAATAGATGTATCGCAGAGCATGCCACGCCACTGGAGAGTATCGATGAGATAAGGATGAAGCGTTTCCTGTTTCTAATTTTATTTTTTACTTCCTTTACTTATTTTTTACTTAGCTATATCTCATAGACATAACCTCTTTTGTCCCCAGCGGGCTGATTGTTGACATTGGTAGACAAAGCTATTGACAAAGAAGACGGAAGGTATAGGGAGGAATTCTATGGGTGGAAGCGGGGGTTGCAATGGACATAGGAGGAAGGTAATGGAATAACTAACAGCAACCCCCGAGAGACCATATAGTTAGTCCATCATTTACCCCCTTGGTCTATAAGAACGACGAATTTGAACCAATAGGATCGTTCCATACTCCCTAAGTCTTCTTTGTCCATCGTTTTGTCTATCAATGTCAACAATCAGCTTGCGGGGCAAGACGTCTTGTCATTTATTTTAGGAGTGCTAGAGACCCAGTGGCAAATCGACTCTTCATCTCAAGTTGTAATTCGAGGCGCCAAGCCAAAGCGCTGCGTTGACACCATTTAATGAAGTATAGGCTAGCTCATATGCTTTATTTTATGCTGCAAATCGGGAGATTAATTCTTTTGTGAACTTCGACGATGTGAAAAGTAGAAATGCGATGAGTTAGAACGGACTCAGGACCGAAGCACTATACAATTTGTGACATCTTATTTGACGCAATGCGTGAAGTATTCACGCAGTCTTGTAGGCCTTATCCGTTTTACGCTGACCGCAATGACCGCACTCTGTTTGATGCAATGCGTGAAGTATTCGTGCAGTCTTGTAGGCGCTCTTCCTTCCTTGTTTCAGTCTTTCTCCATTTTTTAAAATTATTTTTTATTTTTATGCTTAGGTCTTAGGAGGTTAAATCTATACTACCTATCTATGGCTTAGATGCACCAGCTCCGCACAACCCGGGAGGCATGCGTGCTTTTAGCAAGCTTCGGGTCAAGCTGATCCAAGTTTGGGTAGCTGACGGTTAACCAAAAACCCTGAAAAGGAGGAACTCCAATAATTTTAAACGCGTATTGAAAAATATTACTAGTGTAACAGTCCTTACATCATGCTAAAAGGGAGCTTAAATCTTGAGATTTGAAAACTTTTCACCAATTTTATGACCAAACATAGCTCGTATGGGCACATATCCTCAACAATATAACAATCTATCAAAATTTCCGCTGGTATCCCTCTCTCATAATGTGCTGCAGTAATCAGAATAGCCCTCGACAAAGCGAGCTCAGCCCTTCGCTCATTGCCGAAGCGTAAATATCGGCTATCGATACCCCATTTGAGGCCATAATAAAGAATCGATTTTCAAGGTGTCCGTCGCGACTCGATCCTTTTCCACGGGTTTAAACGGGAGATCAATCGATCAATCGGGAAACACGTCAGGCCGTTTCCCTTGTTATAGCACGTCACAAATTATTCGCACATTGATGAGCAGCGAACGTCCCCCGAAATCCCATGGTAATTCGGACCGTCAACCAAGTTTAACTGAAAAAGTGAGCCCGGTTCAGCAGACTCTGTTGATGAATTAACGCTGCGTAAATTAAATTATTACCCGGGTAAGAATGAGGGGGGCCGATGAGAGGGAGACTCGATGAAAGAGCCCCGGGTGGGGGGGAGAGGGGGCTACGAGGGGAGGCAACCAACCGCATATCAATACTTTAAATTGGGTTGGTTACCGAGCATATCGATGGATAGTTCGGGAGGACGCGGTGTTGCCTCATTGGGCTGGAAAATGAGTCGGGAAGAGTGTGGTTGAGGTGTTGTGCTTTTAGACATGGCAACGTGTGAGTCTCAATTACGTGCAACTTTCCATGACCGCGTGGACGGATGCACCCGAGAGGGTTGGAGTAGGTGGCGGTTGGTAGTGAGAGGGGTTGGGCGGTGTGTAGTAAAAGATAGGGCCACAATGATGGGTAATAGCTTGGGGATGACACTATGTTAAATCCGGCTTGGATGTAAATTAGTCGTTCGTGTAGCTTCCGTTGAGGTTTGGGTACACCAGCGTGAAAACACTATTTGGAATACACTTTGCAGAAAGGAACGAGGTTCCAATTCTAAGTCTGATATTTTTATTGAAATGCACCTATTCTGCATTTGAAAAATCGAATTTATCGATTTTACACAGATTTTTGCCGAAGAATGTCCCCGGGGAATCGAAAAACTAAGTTACACTGAAAAAAAAAGATTGGTAGAATTTACCATTTCCTCACGCTGTATTTCACACAGCGTGAAGGAATTCTACCAATCTTCAAGTCGATTCTGCCAGAAGAATAGTTACCTGTATCAGTATATAGTGACGTTTACCTTTCTTCTTGCAGAATTGACTCTAAATTGACGCTGTGTGAAATACAGCGTGAAAGAATGGTCAATTCTACCCTTCTTTTTTTCAGTGTACGTAAGAGAATATTGAATATCTCAATTTTGAAGCTAAATACTACACTAAAAACGAAAATATCGTAAAAAATAAAGTATGCCTAAAACAACTTACACAGAGAGACGTTCACACGATTACATCTCAATATGACGTAAAATTTAAAGTTAAGGAAAATAAAAATAATGCAGTGATGTAATAATGTAATGTAATGATTATAATTTTTGCAGCAAAAAATGCTGTCAATCTTTTAACTTGAGATGAATCCTTTGGGATGTAATCTTTGAAGGAGCCGATATAATTATTCTTTCCTGTTACGTTATTATCTCTCAGGTCGAATTTTTAACTTAAAATGAGAATGATCTCGCAAACAAGAAATAGCAATATTAAGATTACGTTGGAGAAATTACACGGAAGCAAGTTTACGAGGAGCTGTTCTCACAACACTCGATTAGGAAACTTTTACAACTTATATTTACTTTTACGACTAGAATTACGTTTTCTTTGATTGCGTTCATTTACAAGTAAGAGGGCTCGCGGCGAAAAGTTGTGGATCATTTTCAGAATGAAACAAATCTGCATCTTTATGCTCATTTTTTCCTTATTTTTTTCCTTTCCTCAATTTTTATTCATTTCATTTCTTTTTGCTGTTTGCTCGTCTATGTCAATTACCCGTCTGTTTCCATCGGTTTTTTATTGCTAATTTGTATTTGCATAAATAATCAATTAAAAAGGAGTTTAGTTGTATTCCTCAGCAAACCGATGCTTTTTCTATATTAAATAAATGAAGAAACTAATTTGTATTCATTGAGTGAAGTTTAGCTCATAAAGTAGTTATTAAAATTATATGAGGTCTTTTTTTAAAAAATAAATAAACTTCAATAGTTCGAAACTTCAACTCGAATTTTATGGCAATCTTAGAAATTCCAAAAATGTGTACTTTTGATAACTTTTAGTTTTAAAATGTTTAATTGTCTGCAAAAACTCAGACCTGTGGCTCAACTCGGAAACCACCTCTTTAGTTTGTGACGTTGCAAACTTCCGTTCACAGTCATTCTTTTATGGACTACCATGACAAGTCTGATACTGGAGAGAATCATCACATGTCTTCTATCCAAAATCTTACGTAGAAAACGATTCACTTGACAGGGTGGATATTCGGGGTTTGATTCCTGGGTGAAATATTGAAAGTAATCAAAGGGGCAAAGTTTCACATGGAGTTAAATCCAATTACTAATGTCTTCATTTGTGAGTGTCCCCTTACTAGCGCAGAAAAACTTGAAATTTTGCATATTGGTGTCTCCTCCTAAACCGGGATTCTCTGACTCCCTGGCAACCCTGCAATGATTAATATTTATTTCAAACTTAAGCTTCAGTTACAACGCTTAGTTTGTTACCCAACAGTGTTCGAAACTCACCTTTGAGTTTTAGGAGCCATGTGGCGCATCAAACCCGATTTCTAAGCGCCATTGAAGGTTTTTCGGGAGCCAAATTGACTTATTGCCTATATATTACGGTACATTTGGTAAAAAGTTAGACGCAAAATGTTTTTGTGACAGAACAAGTAAGTAGCTGTAACTTTGGGGAAGACAAAAGCACAAATGATGAAATCGTGAAGAATAGAAAAAGTTTTCACTTGTCGTGCTGAAAATTTTGAATAATCACCTAATATGAAAATTCAGATTTTTAGGGGGCAACTTTTAGGGGCCACGTTGGCGCAGAGCCTTCATTTTTTAGGAGCCATGACCGATTTTTTAGGCGCATTTGGCGCGTTGGTGTCTGTGAGTTTCGAACACTGTTACCCAATTATTTTTTTTTACTTTTTTACCGGCTTTTGACTATGGATATGATGTTGTGATTGCAGATCCTCCAGTGTGCCGGTCGGGCTTCGAGCGACGGACGGTGGGCGCGATGCTGCACGAGATGGTGGAGGTTCGCTGCGAGGTGGAGGCCTGGCCGCAGGACGACCTCGAGTTCTTCTGGCAGTTCAACCTGACCGACGGCAACAGCCAGGTCTCCCGCTCCCGCATGTCCACCGACGGCCCGACCAGCGTCCTCCACTACCGCCCGGCCGACGCCCACGACTTCGGCAACTTCTCCTGCCGGGCCTCCAACGCCCTCGGCATGCAGTCCGAGCCCTGTCATATCACCGTCACCCAGATCGGTAAGTCCCCGTTCAGGGCAACAATAAAGAAATTTCAAAAAACAGAGGTGGCAGGATGCAACAATCAACCATAAAGTACAAAGAGTCAAAATGGAAAAGCTGCCGTTATGTTCTGATCGACGAATTCCGAGCCCGGTGTGCGCCGAGCATTTCCGTCACTTTTTCGATACATGTTCGATCCAAAATGCGATGTAGAATCGGATACCCGGGTCCCCATGTATCGCAGACAATCGATTATGTATAGAAAAAGTGACCCGGCCTGACACAAAGGGGTTATAGGAAATTTCGTCAACGATTTTTTGTCCGCGCACCTGTTTTTTCCAGTAATTTACGTCCACGCGTTTTTCCGGCACGGGAGTTTTGGTCCACGTGCCAGTTGGAACCCAAAGTTAATTTGCCCACATGTGAATACAAACGACAATTGCTCAAGACGTTTTTAGATGAAAATGTATAATGTCTTGGAAGAATGAGGGTTTGCTTGTTTTTTTGCTTTGTCTGTTTGGTCCAACGAAAAATAATATATAGTTGAGAGTTTTGGTAAAAATGGGGGAGCGTCAATTCCACGAGACAAAATTCACTAAAACTCACTACACTTCTTTGGTGTAACAGGAATTATTCATCTTTCAAGATTTCCCCACCTATTATACCTGAACCGGATGAACCTCTGTATGTACTTGCCTCAGCTAAAGGCTCTTAGATTTTTCCTGTGTACGATAATTATCTTATTGATTTATTTTGCGAGGAAAGATCTGTACTTTTAAAGGTTGCCTGTTATTCTTAATACATTCAATTTCGTATAATACTGTGAAACACCTCTGTTGTGAAATAGTTGCTTCAGGCGCCGCCGCACGGCGCATTGGCGCCTACAAACCTAAGTGGATACTTCAAGCATTGCGTGAAGTATCCACTTAGGTTTGTAGGCGCCAGTGAGCCTCTCGCGCTGGCAGCACGCCTCTCCGATCTCTTAGGTTTTAATGTTTATACTCACGTAGTCATCGTTTTTTAACTCTGGATTTTGAAATGTTTGCACACTCTGCATTGATTATTCTCATTGAAATTGATTGGAAATAAATATGTATCAATTTATCAAAAGAGAATAGTAATACAATGCGTGTTTTTTTAAACATTGGTGGTACCGTGTCAAATTTAATGATTTCCGAAGCAACTTAATTTTTTCTTTAACATTTTTTACTTTAATTGTGCTGCAGCGAGGTGTACGCGCAACCAAACGCTCAAAATATGACGTATTTGACTCTAAAAGATCGATGTACAAATGGATTAAAACTAAAAATTGCGTGCTTCTTGGTTTTTCCCCTCTTTTATTCATTTTTGCAGTTTTTGTCGGCACAACTGCGGCTTATTACAAATATTTATCACGTTTTAAAAATATAAATGTTTTCAAAATGAAGTAATAATTTCGCAAAGAAAAAATTAAAAAAATAAAAAAAAGTACCTTTACACATAAAAGGTATATTGTACATCGAATAGTTTTAGGATAGAAATAAAACCAAATATTCACCAATGACGATTTAAAAAGATGATTCAAAATGAGAAAGTAATAACATTTCATTTAGAAAATGAGCAACCATAACAACACTTCATTCTCTCTCAATTTCTCATTTCCATATTGTCAATATAATTTTACATACCGACTAAAATATAACGATTGGACCAAGTCACCGTAGCTTATTTTACGTGTGGGTATAAACTACTGGACAAAAAAGGTGCGCGGACAAAAAAATCGTTGACAAAATGTCCTGAAACCCACAGGAGTCTCGAAATTTGGGATATGGAAAAGGCTTAAAAGTGGCCCCAGCCCTCCAAATTACATTACGACTCTACGTACTCTATGCAATCAATAGACACAGGTTATGATGAGAATGCGTTCATGGGGAGAGTTAGGTTAGTTCAGTGCTTTGGAGGCTAGGTCATGGAGCTTTTAGGGCCTAAGAGGGCAGCTAACTTTTGAATGCAAATGGGTCTTTTGGACACAGGAATTAATCACGGCGACTGAATGCAACTATTTCAGCGTAGCGGAAGCCTAAATTGTATTCGCAAAAATTGAAGGAGCATCGTCTTTCCGCCTGCTGTTCCAAAAGTTCAATGAAGTTAGAACCACTAGCCACCAGAGGTTAATTTTAGACGTCACTTTCATTATGAATGCGATAATATAGGGAATTTTAAGCGGAATCACATTGCTCGGAGTAGAACTGTATTAAGAAATCGTGCAATGAAAGTGTTTTGTAGGGTGTATGATGCACCTCAGATATTTTAGTGAAATTATAAGATTTTTTGAAAAGCAGCGTTTCGTTGGCGGAGACAATATATCATAGGGACCATACGCCAACCATCTATGCAATGTAATCGGTTCGAAAGTCAACGCTATTTTTCGCCTATAGATGAGTAACTTGCAATAAGTGGCGCTTTTTGTAAGAATGTCAAACGTTTGACGTGGCTTTCTTGATTTCGCCATTAAATCGGAAATAAAGGGAAAAATCATGATTCAATTGAAATAATATTAGATTATAGTAAAATTAATGAAGTTCCTTCAAAAGCAGGGCTTCATTTGCAGAGACGATATGTTGGCCCTCTGCCAACCGCATCTACGCAATGTAATCGGTTCGAAGGTAAACTCTGCTTTACGACATTGATGAGCAGCTTGTTGAGTAAAACATAGATTCAAATTGGCTCAATGATGACCGATGAATTTCGAAGTGAGCATTTTGCCGGGCAATTATTACAAAAAAGGTACACGGCGACTGGATGCGACTATTCCAGCTTAGCGGTAGTCTAAATTGCATGTACAAAAACTGAAGGCGCATCGTCTTCCCGTCTCTGCGGTTCCAGCAGTTGACTCGAGTTCCAACTCCAATCGCTCTCTCGCGAAGAGCTCTCCGCGAATGGAAATACCGAGAAATCAACGTCAAAACTTTGTTTGTATTGAAGATGTTCTCTTGACGAAGTTGCTTTTCTCCCGGGCTTTTCCTGCCGAATCATAATGACGTCGGAAAGTATTTAATTCTGCAACGCCCGGAATCAGATCGAGACAAAACAGCTGTAAATGAGTCGTAAATTTTTAATTCAGCCGGGCACGAGTTTCTGAAAAGAAGCAACTAAGAATAAACGCTGAAATAAACTTCTAATAATCGGGTTGTTCCTCCCCCGACGATCTGAGTGGAAACGGAGACGCCTTCCCCGTCTTTCAGAGCTCCGCGTTCCCTGGAAGTGGAAACTTTTAATTCAGTTACTATATTGGGTTTATTTATCTGCATCCTCCGATTAATATTTAAGTTTCCAATAAATTTTTAGTATTTGACGCGGGCTTTCCCTTTGATTGCTGAATCTAATTATCGGAAGTTTATTTTAACCGGATGGCTGAACGGAGGACTGCATTTCCGTGAAAATGATGGTGAACTTGTGCTGATTGTTGAGTCGAGACAAAATGGCGCTTTCTGTAAGAACGTCAGATGTTTGACGTTACCTTCTTGATTTCGCCATTAAATCTAAGGCGACAGAAAAAAAATCACTATTGAGTGGAAATAACATCAGATTCTAGTGAAATTAATCAGGTTTTTTGAAAGCAGGGCTTATAGTTAGCAGAGATGATATTCTGTATTTTCTCGCTATAATGGCACTTATTAAAACGAAAATCTCTCGTTTGTAAAAGAATCGCCTGGTTCCTTGAACGGTTCTCTCGCTATGACGACACTCATTTTAATGAAAATCTCTCTTTTGCGAAGGAATAACTGCCCGGTCTCTTGCCGATCGTTATAGCGAAAGAGTACTGTATTTTAGAAAGCATGTACCAACCATCTATGCATCAAAATCGGCACGAAGATCAACTCAACATTTCGCCTATTGATGAGCAAACTGTTGAGCAAAATACACATTAAAACTGATGACTGATGAATTTCGAGGTGAGCATTTTGCCATTCGATTTTTACAAATAAGGTTAGAATTTCTGAACGAATCGCTCATCTACTCTTTGGTCAACCGTCATCATTTGGCGAATCTTAGCGTTGAATTTGGAAAGTAACTTTTGCGCCATAGGGAAAATAGCAGTGCCCCGTAATGGAGTCTCTAAAGCATAGCGCCTTCAATATTTTGTGTATGCAATCGGGACAATCGTGAAGCACGAATAGTGGTATTCAGAAATCTATCTTTGGCGCTGGGCCGCGCCAAAGCGAAATGTCGCGCATATAGGAACGCACGGGAGAAGCCGTTGCGCCTTCAATATTTTGCCATGCAAAACGGACAATAGTAGAGCATGAATAGTTGCGTCCTGCACCTCGGAACGTGTTGAGTGAATATTACCAAAAATATATCGCCACTACTTGTTATAGCAAGCGTATAGCCCAATAGGTCAGTTGCGCTGGGCATAGAAACGTGTTTTGATGGCTGAAGTTTATAGATAGGCAAAAAATAATGGGATCTGTTCGAATGCCAAATTCCCACGTCAAATACGGAGTTACTGCTCATCGAAATACACAGCGTTTGACGTCATCCACCGCCATAGTGCACACCATGGTTTTATCCGTTTTACGTCGAGCAACAGGTGCAATTATGTGTAGTAGTAGTAGTAGAAAAATAATTTTATTTTAAAGCGGTGCTTTAGCATCTATCGCTGATCGATGAAACCAAAGTGGAAGACATCATAGTATCCACAACCACTGGTAGATGACGTCGAACGCCGTCTTTTTCGACGAACAATATTTTCGTTAATATTGGCTATAAAAGCTTGGCCTTTGGACGAATCTTATTATATTTTGCTAATTACGAACTTAAACTATCAAATCACGATTCTGCGATGAGCGCACTAATCCATTCCTTTATCCGTAATACCCTTAAATTTTGACAAGCTGATTATGGTAGACCCACGAGTTGTATTGACAGTAAGTTTGAGATGTAGCCAACGTGCGTTATATTTCAGAAAATTGTAAATCTCAATACAGAGGGGAAAAAGCTCATTCAAGCATAATTTTCCTTCAGAGAGATACGCTGTTTGTTACAAAACTACTTACGATCATTCAGGAAGGCAACTACAGACGCGTTTCGGATCTAATTAAACATTTCTGAAGTTCAATTGGACGTATTTCTGTCAAACGGAACTATGTAAACTAAGACGTGAGCCCTGTTACACATATATCCTTATGGGTCTTAGGGCTCATATCTTAATGCACATAGTTTCGTTTGAAAGAAATACGTCCAATTTTCTGATACGTGACGCACATTGGATACATCTCCAACTTACTGTCTTTCAATTTTGCTTGACACCTGTACTTACTATGAACCTGGATTTGATGTAATGGATTTTGTGTGATTTCAGGCACCCCGGAGCCGCCGAGACATTGCGAGCTGACCAACACGAGCTCCTACGGGGACCTGATGATCCACTGCGAGGCCGGTTTCGACGGCGGGCTGAAGCAGCACTTCCTCCTGGTGGTCCTGGAGGCGGGTGCCACGTCCGGCCACATAACCTCCAACGAAGTCTCGGAGCCGCAAGACGAGGGAAAGCGGGCTGTCCACCCGTATCCGAGCCACGGACACCGCGGGAACGGACACGGACACAGCGCGTCGACGACGGACAGCCACTGGTCCCAACCCGTCTACGAGCTCCGCCAGGATGTCCCGCAGTTCCAGCTCAACGGGGTGTCGTTCGGGTTCTACGACTTGGCCGTCTACGCGGTCAACGCCAAGGGCAAGAGCCAGCCGCCAATCGTGTTCCCAAGTGTCGAGATCTCTGCCATCACGGCCAAGCTCACGTATTCTGGTAAGTTTGGAATTGCATAGTGCGTAAAATCACCATTTTCACAGAGAGTTCTTAGTCAGCAGGCTGATTTAGAAATGTATGAGCAAAAAGGATTAGAGGAGGGATGGTGCAATTCTATTGGTGGATGCACACAGAGAGGAATATCAACACAAAAGTTTGGTTAATACGAGAAGTAAAATACGAAATAGCCCTAGCCTTCGGTTGACAATTTCAAGAGAAATTGCCAGCTAGTTTTCTTGAAGACGAGTGGTGAATACCAACGTCGCAATTGAAGTAATGCGTTTTTAAAGTTTCTCAATTGTTTTCTGCTCTAACTTTACCGCAAACTGTACCAAAATCAACACCAAATTGCGGTGTTTGTTCGTGTTTCACTTCCTACATTGACCAAAAGTAGCAGAAGAACACAAATATTTTTATCAGTGCGGGTTTTTGCGATGGACCAAAGAGGCATAGGAGGCATACGTCCCCCTCCCTCTGAAAATGAGGAGAAAAAAAAGAAAAGAACGGAGAGAGCCAAGAAAAGAAGAGGAAAGTACATAGTTCTTTAGAGGGTAGTTAATTCTTTCCCACCTGTCTCTGGTTCCGTTCAGCAGATATACGTCCAATTAGTATAAGTTTGTCTAGGTGAATTATATTAAAAAAGTGGAATTTTAAAATTCTTTCAACAATTCTGTAACATTTTTCTAATGCCAAAATACCACATCTAATAACATCCAATTGACTTTCAGACAAACGAATGGCGAAGGTGCTGGCGATGATCCAAGAAGTGCCGGTCCTGTACTACGCGGTGTTCACGCTGGTGGCCCTGTTCGCGCTGGCGGCGCTCGTCGCCCTGCTGGCCATCCGCAAGAGCAAGACCCCGCAGCGGCCCCGCGCCGTCCTGACGACGAACCAGGGGATCGCGCCGTTCGAGCACGTCTTCATCGCGGGGCCCCCGCTGGACAAGGGCGGGAACAGCGACAGCGAGCCCGACGACGAGGGGGGCGGCCGCGGCCCCGGTGGAGGCCCCGGATGAAACAGGAGGAGCTGGATCAAGATGCTCGACATCAACAACTCCGACTACACTCCGCGCCGCTTGTAGTTGTAGATTGTAGATTCTAGAGCCCGCTTGGTTCAGCTCCGCAACATTTTTGGTACATATGATAGTTGCGGCCACAGGCCGCTTTTCGTTCCATTCCCCGGTGATTTGGGGATTTTTTCGGAAAAATCGATTGATCGAATCGATTTGATTCTTTTAATTCATCTATTTAAACTGTGACAAAAAAATCGATTTTCCGAAAAATATATTTAAAACAATCGGAAATTGCGAAGATTGTAGATTCTAGAGCCCGCTTGGTTCAGCTCCGCAACATTTTTGGTATATACATATAATAGTTGCCCCCACAGGCCGCTTTTCGGTCCATTGCCCTGTGATTTGGGAATTTTTCCGGAATTGATTCAATCGATTCGAATCGAGAATCAGATTCATCGATTTGAACCGTGACAAAAAATCGATTTCCCGAAAAATATATTTGAATCAGTGAGAACGAAAACACTTCAACTCGGAAAAATAAAAATAATCAAGACACACAAAAAACTGCACAGTAGACGGAGAAGATAGTCTTAAAAAAAGATTTTTGCTGCCGAAAGACAAGTGCTTATGGACACTTTAAGGGTCCCAGTTGGGACAGATGCGCTAACTTCAATGATCTTATGTAAATTTTGTGGAAAATTATGTAAAACTTTAATGGAAATTGAGCATTTTCGTGTTACCGAGTTGAAGTGTTTTCGTTCTCACTGATTCATTTAATGTAATCGGAAATTGCGAAGATTTTTTGCACTCCTCGAAAAAATTGCACTCTGAAAAAAAATCACATGAAATTTCCCGGAAGGTTGCTAGGATTTTGGTCCGAAAAGCTCACGTGCTGATTTAATACATTTGGGTGGCACAAATCGGAATTTTTGATTCTAAGGGGGAAAAAGTCTACTTTTTTGATCATCGAACTCAATCAAATTGATGCAATTTCATCGATTTTTCAAAAAAATCGTCCAATAAATCCCAACACTGATTATTATTTGGACTGATGGACTATTGGATGATGTCCTGGTTTAATTATCTTTGATGTCACCGACAAAGTCATCTGTGACTTCATCGGTTAAATCATTGATGCATGTTGTCAATGTCCGAATCATCGCTGATGTCAGCAAATTAGAAGTCATCGAATACGTCTCCAGTAAAATTATCAGCAGTTAAGTCATCGCTGACATCATCAGTCAAGTCATGGATAATATCACCAAATTGTCACCAAGCCATTGTGATACCCATTGTGTGTTTGTGCTTGTGTATAATATTCTTTGAAACCTTGTATGCGTTTGATCGATTCTTTGTCGAAATTTTTTGCAATATCGGCTGTTACAGCAAATTGATATTGGCTTGCTACGATTTGTACGATCTAAAGTGGCTCTACTTGATATGATGTCATCAGCCATTGGTAAAAGCTAATTTACAACAAAGCTTTCGATAGCAATAAATTGTGATGGTACTGAAATTTCATCATTTTGCCGCTTTCTGATGACCTTAAATGACGTTTACGACATTAAGATTTTCCTAGACACATCTCCTCTCGTCGTAGGTCCCGATTCCATGACTGAGTTTCAGCAACCCGAGGAAACCCTGAAGAAAAAAAAATGAATTTCTTTGTAGATTGTCCAGTTCTGTAAAAGATCAGATTACGTTTTAAGTCATAAGCCACGTTACCTTAGTGCTTTGAAAGCTTTAGCTTTACTCTTAACTCCTTGTCTACTTAAAGTCTGCACTGGCATTATTTTAACCTGATGGATTTAGGACCTTCATTATTTTAAGCTAGACACTGAGCTACGATGATTCTCATTTATTTTGTACCATCCAATATCCAGTATTTTCATCCATGACTGAGTGGAAATACGAACCATTAAAATTATCTCTCTTCTCACACTTATTTCATTGGAATAAGTTAAAATGAAATAAAATATGTTTTTTCTTGTGGCTGAAAAAGCATGAAAAAAGTTCGATAAAAGTCACGTTCTTCAGAAGCCAAGTGAAACTATCTTTTACTTGCTGATATCGACGGATATCTGTAGTAAAGATCTTTGAAAAAAGTTTCTTTCCCTGTTCTTTTTAAGAAGAAGTGTATAGTTTTTTTTTGTTTTTTTTATGGCAACATTATGTCAAACAAGGTTGTAAATTATTTTTTGTAGAAGTATAGGATAAAATGTACAAATTATTATTTATTTTGATGAGCTGCCTTTGTAGATACTAAGAAACGTTCCAGGTTGGTACCGAGCCTTTTTATAAATAGATTAGTAATTTAAGATTTATTTTTGTTGTAAATTTTGATGATTGTAATAATTTAGTTGCTTCAATTTGTCATTTGCCATTAAATGCTGTAACATAGTAAGTGTCGGTGCTCTATCATGGGCAATGTTATTTTTTTATTGCTGATAGGTATGAATATGTTTCTGCATTGCTTAATTGTCTTTGGAGCTAAAACAGATGAGACATGAATGCTAAGATATGTCAAAGAATAAAGTTCAAAATTGGACGCTGTCTTCAATTATTTTTCTGGATTCTATGAATGACTACTCAATCAAATTTTACAGGGTAGAAAATAGGTAATTAAAATGAATTTTTCTCATACCTTTTTGAATTTAGTTTCGACAGTGAGGCGATTTTTTTATTAAGATACTTTTATAAGAACATTAAATGGAGGCGAACGTAGCCTTTTTACATGGAAAATGGGTGGACGTTGTTTCAAAACTATTGTTGATGGATCACACCTCGATGGCTAAAGTGCAAAACCACGCGACTCCGTTCGCAACTTTCCAGACTTTAAGGCTTTAGACTTTATGTATCGTGTGTCAAACTGTTTGACATAATTTTTTGATACCTTCCTCAATTTTTCTTCTCTGTTTTGGCAGAATACTCAGTATGAATTTCAGGCTATGAAATTTGGCTCCTCGGATAAATAAAATAGGAGCTGAAATTTTGGAACACCACAATAGAGTTACGTTGTTTCGCACTTTGACCATCGATTTGATTTACGGAGTACAGTTAGATGTACGTAAACAAAATCCGCCTAACTGCATTTTACGTTGCCTAACGCCCTCTCATAATTATCTTTTTAAGAGAAGAAGAAACAAGATAACTCCTGAATGTTCCTCAGACTATGATGTACATGCTTGAAAAACAAATCAAAACTTCGCTTTCAAAAGAAAAAAGGCCAAGTTTGATCTAGTTAAAATGTTTCCGATTAAATCCGTCAAAATTACCTTCAGTACAGCAGCGTATATTGTGGCATTCAATGTTAGAAGTTGTTAAGCAAAATGACTGTCTACATACGGGAACAAACTTTGAAAATAAACAATTTGGGACTGAAGAATCATTTTAAATGACTGCCTGATGTTCCTATAGGCTTCACTTGTAATTTGTTGCCGATTTGTGCGCAGTGGAGTCCAATTATTCAAGCTTCGAGAGTTATCAAAGCGTTTTATTCTAGAAATATTCTGGTCATTGCTTTGAGTAATTTTTCTTATTTCTATGAACAATCCACATATGTTTTGCCAGTTCAAAAGGAAACTGATGCTTTACAGTTCATGTCTTACTTTTCTTACCAACAGGCATCTATCCCAAAGAAGAATTATTTACATAAATAAGTGGTAAAGTAAAATGTGCATGCTTCGAACTTTAGTACCTAATCGTGTTTGTAACTGTAAATAAAGTGTAAATTGATTAAACGAATTCATGAGATTTCTTTCTTCATGCAAAACATGAGATCCTTTGCCAAAGAATTAAAATGAAAAAGACAACTCCACGCACGAACAGATTTGAATTTTATTTAGGAAAAAATGAAAATAGAAAAACTCCCAACAAATTCACTTTTCATTGCCATTTTATACTCACATAAGAATAAAAAAAAAATCTGTCATAAGAAACCTGTTCCCTCAATTTACTCAATTGACTTTTAAGGCAATGTTTACTTGTTGAGCCAATCGATATATCGATACAATCTCACCTGTTTGATGTATCGAGTACGATCCATTGAGAAAGACATAGATTTTTATGACATTTGCACTTCACTTTTTATCCATGGTTAAACTTCTCAAGCACCGATAAAACCAATTTTTACAAAGCGTGCCGATGCTTTCTCGAAAAGAGAGTGCCTCCGTTTTATGTTACAACAATGCCAGTAACTGTTAGCGGCATGCGGCACTGAAGCATTGTAGTAAAGTTTACGTCTTATGCCAAACTTTTAGTCTCTTCCAGGAATGAAGGCGGTTTTACTTCACACCGGAGTGCACAAATTTTTCAACTCTGGAAGGAGTGCACTCATATATCGAGGTAATTGTTGGACAACAAGGTGCCTCGTGACTCCTTGAAACAAAGTGGGTTGTTAAATGTTTAAACAGTTTAATGTTTTATCCAACCAACGCCAGTCCGATGCATGCACTTTCATGTCGCTCTTTTGAAGATTACAGTAAAAAAAGTGCGTCTTTCTACTGCAACGTTCACGAATTCCCGATAATGGTTTATACTATCGATGGAAAAATGACCAACATATTTGTAGTGTTTCTCTGAAAGGAAAATTAGCTGTTGCCAAATTCCACTGATCTGTTTATGTGTGTATTTAAGCAAAATGACGAGTATACCAATTTGTATGAACATTTTTTAGAGATTGCTCTGAATGGAACGATGCGATTTTTCATTAGGTATGCGGTCACTTGATTCACTTTCAATCTTGACAAAAAAAAATATTCATAGAACATTTCAAGGAAAACTGTAAAAAACGAAACACACAGGAACATATGAGACCAGAGATTCGCACTGTCTCAATAGGAGACACGCATGTTTTGAAAAAGCCATCGATTTTTACGTTTCTTTGCACCCTCAGAAATTAAAACCGATTAATAAACTAGCAAAGGCTCTTAGATTCCATAACAGGTATTGGGAGAAAAATCGGAAGTCATCGATTATAAAAATTTAAATTTTATTTACATGAAAACAACAACAAAAACAAAATGTTCATAATATATACACAAGTAACTGTTCACATGAGATGTTACAGATATGACATGATTCCTTGTTTTGGATATGTCTCCACAAAATATGTATAAAACAAAATGCTTTAATTTTCTAAAATTTACGTTATTCCAAAAAGAAGGGGAACTTCACAGTGATGACTACACGCTATTCTCCTACACATTATAATTTGCTTATAAAAAAGGGAAGATCAAAAATTTTAATTTTAAAAATTTTATTACCCTGCAGTGATTTAAGAATGATTTGATTTTATTACTAGCAGTCAAGAGAATCAAGATATGCTTCTATGCCGAGCGGAAAACCACACTTTAATAGATCTGAAACACTCGATTCAACTTTAATCATGTTTTACCTGTCAACTGAGTGCTGTGCAGATCCAATAAGATCAACTTTGCTTACATAAAATAAAAAGGGGACAGCGGCTTGGAAAAAATACTCAACATAGACTTGAAGATCCACACTGATATGACTGGAATGATATGGTGAGGTACAATTATTTTTGGGAGATATAACATGGTGAGAGGGGCAAATCATCGAAATTCTTTTGAAGCTGGCACAGAAGATTGATCATTATAAAACTGAGAAAGTTGCAAAGTCAGACAGCCTGTTTTCAACTGACTATTACAAGGGACTAGGTACTGTGTGATTGCATTATTTTCGATTGGAATTAGATATGTACGGATTGGAACCAAGCGATGACTACATTCGGAAGCAACGTACTTAAATTGAAGTTCAAAATTTCCAATTTTTAATTTATTCGAATGGTATCGAGCCTTATTCCTCACAGGTTGAAACCCTAATAACATATTTTCGAGCAGAGTCGAAAAATTATGAAAATGTTCAAGAAATTCCTATCATCAGATTCCCCATTGAAGAAAACAGTATTGAAGGATCAAAAATGTCGTGGGAAAAAAACTTCGGTTCCAAGTGTAGCCATCGATAGAGTTCTCCCAAATGATTTTCGATGAAGGAGTTTATTATGGAATAAAGAAGTCAGAACGTCAAGAGCTCTAACAGTTTAGATTTAAAAACTCAACTCGCTCGTGGCTGAAAAATTCATCAACATCACGAGCGCAAACCTCAATATTTTTCAGGTGGTTGCCTCAGCGCTTCCCAGATGCGGGAGTGAGGCTCGCAAAAGGGTATTTTTACTCGAACTCTATAACGCTGACATCGAAGTGAATGTCATAACTTGCAAGCGGCAGCACTCAAGAAAAGACTCTCGCGTAACAGCACGAAAGAAAAACTTGCGGGCGCAGCATGCAAGACAAGATGCAACTGAGCACGAGGTGGTGGTGCGGAGGGGGGGGGNGGTGATTTAGGAATTTCGACTGCTGCACCACGAGATGAGTAAGCGGCGAATTAATTTAGTTAAATTTCGGAGGAGGTGCATCTGGTCGGGGAGGGGGGCGGGGGACGATTTCCTTGGCGGGAAACTTTCCTAATAAGAAAGGACTGACGCACGTATAAAAAGTTGGGGTAACGGAGTGTTTAGAGCTGCCGTTTGTAGCCGGATCGCTGTATTTTTTGTCGCGGCTGCGACAGAAACAACACAAATACCTTCCGAGACGATGCGTGCGTTACGTTGTTCTGTCCGGCGAGCGAGGTTTCGTCGAGGCTGTGATAAACATGCCACTTAAACGTATAGGTGGGGACTTAATTGAATTCCGCCGACAGCGCAATCTTGCGGCGGATTTTTCATGGCCCGCAGGAAGGAGGCTAGAGGAAACTTTCCTGCAATTCGGTGGATTTTGTAATTGTTAAAAACTGCGGCGCGGCCGTTATGGCTGACGAGTGTCCTTCGCCCTGCAACAGAGAAGTCGGTTTTTAAATTAGAAACGTGAGACGTGGAAGCCGGGCGGAGGAAAATGAGCTCAAAAGACAGGAAATAGTTATTAGTTGTTGCGGAACTACGGCCAGGCGTTGTCGGATGAGCGGGCAAATCTTTAGATGAGTGGAATGATTTCCTCCGTTCATCGAACTAGCACTCTGGGTTCGTTGTTTTCTGGACAAAAAAACGTAACTACACTTGTATTGCATTTTGCAAAAAGTGGTAAAGAGCATTCCAATGTTGCTAGGATTGTGCAACTTACATTCTTTGCAATAAATTCACTGAAATTATGCAAAAATTGTAATTTACAAAGGTAATTTTCGTTTTGAATATAAAATTTATTGGGAGTGAAGATAAAACTTGTTCAGATGATCAGTTGGATTGCATTTTGCAAAAAGGAACCGCACTAGCATTGCACTGTTGCTAAGATTGTGCAACTTCTTTTGTCTTGGAGGAGAAACCCGATTATCCATTGATAGTTTCTATTATACTCGCTAAAAACTGTGAAAGACAAAAATTACCATCTAAATTTCATGGTTTTTCACGAGTTCCCCAATTTTATTGCAAAGGATGAAGTTGCACAATCTTAGCATCATTGCAATGCTAGTGGTTCCTTTTTGCAAAATGCAATCTAGTTTATATTTGAAAGGTAAACATGATGCACAATCTTAGCAATATGGGAATGCTCTTGGTTCCTTTTTGCAAAATGCAATCCATCTGTAAATTGGACCGCGTTTAGCAAAAAGGAACGAAGCCCACATCGGCCATTGACTTTGACTGGGCAATTCAATTTTTTACAAGGGAACGGTTGTGCGGATTACTTTGGAAATTTTAAGATATTTGCTGCGTATACAAAGCAGAAAATTCACTGAGATTTGCACAAAAATCCGCACAACCGTTTTTGTGTAAAAATGTAAATTGCCCGATTTAATTTTGGCAATAGCTGATGTGGCTTGGTTCCTTTCTGCTTAACGCGGTCCAATTGTACTCTTACTCGACATTTGACACGCATTTGAACGCATCTGAAACTATGTGTATAGGGTTTGCGGGAAACGAGGTTCCTTTCAGTTCAGTAGAAATGTGTCCGCCTGCAGCCTCGGACTGGCCATAGAGCCGATCTGCCATTGGCATATAAGCCCCCTTGGGGTGCCAAAAACGCGCCCCTCTGACAGATAGTAAAATAAGAACAGAAAAAAAATTACGACCGAGAATATGTGTGGAAAATGTCTTAATTGAACGGAAAAAGAGAGAGATAGGAGTAAAGAAAGGTGCTTTTACTCATGATAGTGATGAACAAAGGTCCAAGAACTACTTTCTGAGGCGTAAAAACTTTTCTGCGAAATGTTTACCTTTTTGTTGGCATACTGGCGCTTTATCATCCCCTCCTTTATTCACTATGTGTAACTCCCTTAGAAGCGATGGTCGGTTCGATTTTTAAATATACGCACCTTTTACAGACCTCTTGAGTGACCTTTAAACATATTTCTTCCTTCTCAAAATGACTATTCATTTGGAAATACCATATCATATCTCGGGAAATCTTAACCTTAATTTATCTCGAAATGCAAAAATAAGAGACATCTAAAGTGTAACCGCGATACAACTGTTCGCGCAAGATGGATGTCCACATTGCATATGAAAAATGTAAGACGCGATGGCGTGTGTCGTGAACTTGCAGTGCTCTGCACAATGCTATTAGTTTGAAGCACCATCACGAATAAGACAAACGCAAACAAACACAATATGGGAATAAAGCGAGGGAAAGGATGAGCGTTAACGACGGCGCAGAGATACAACTATTCGTACTTGATGGACGTCCGTGCTGCATCTGAAAAATTGAAGGCGCGATGACACGAAGTGGGAGCTCTCAATGCTCAGCTGTATGCTGTCAATGAGATGTCCCTTATATTGGGAGAAAAGTTAAAAAAGAGGCCCGAACACATCTCTCATACCTTCATTTGTGTTACTCACGTAGTGTTTGAAGCACCATTACAATGAGACACACGGAAACAAACACAATATGGGAAATAAGCGAGGGAAAGGATGAGCGTTAACGACGGCGCAGAGATACAACTATTCGTACTTGATGGACGCCCGTGCTGCATCTGAAAAATTGAAGGCGCGATGTTGCGAAGCGTGAGCTCTCAATGGTCTCCTGTATGCTGTCAATGTGGTGTCGCTCGGATTTGGGAGAAAAGTTAAAAAAGAGGTCCGAATACGTCTTCAAAAATTCAGGCATCGGGCCGATGACTTACAGATTCAAGCCACATTCTGCTCCCACATTGAGCGTGTGATTGCAGCACACCGAAAAGATTCGAAGCGCGATCCTCGAAAGTGGCGCTATCTTCAGGCGGCGGACTGGCATTAAAAGTTCCTTAATCTAATGCCGCGGATCGCGGAAGTTGGCGGAACGTCGTCGGTGCCGAGGACGGACGCAAATCGGTTGAAACGGACGACAGGAGCCGAAAAGCCGGTGCGGCGCGCGGTGGCGGCGTTGGGTAAACATGGCCGGACAACGGTCTCCTGTTTTACGAGTTGGGCGGTTTAATTAATTAACCGCTGCAATTACAAACTCAAACACTTGGTTCTATGACGTCCCGGCCGGTGCAAATACATTTCTAATTAACTCCACCGGAGGATCCGTCTGCGCCCGACGCTGACGCCACGCGCGACGTCCGCGATCGCGTTCGAGTGGTCCGGACACCTGCTCACCAGATCAGATTTACCCGCTCGAGTCTGGGTATCTTTTGTCCTCGTGTCTCGAAGGTTGCGATTATTGGGCCTTGTCATAGCTGGATGGTTTTATGGATAGTTGTAAGAGTGTCTTTTTTCGAAAAACGTTGCTAAACCGTAAGAGAATGACTTGAGAGTTCATTTTTAAAGGTAAATGCGCGATTCTACAAAAAGTGACAAATTCCAGCCATGAAAGTGTTTTTATTACAATGTTTGAGAAAAAAAAATCATACTTCACTAATTAAACTTGAAAAAAGTGTTTCAAATTATTTAGGATGGTAAGCTGTACGGTTAAGTTTCATTATCAGCAAAACTGCATAATCTGCCCCTAAACGTCACTATTACGACAGGATGGATGCAATATTTACTGCCTCATAACTTTCTTTGTGTCAAATAACTTTCCCTGATTTTTTCTGAATTAGGAAAAGAAACCCTCAATCCATGATAATGAAGTTGAAGTTTATACTTTTTACCGGTGTTGATTTTTCTCGATTTCGGACCGAGAAAGAAATTTAAGGGTACAATCGATTGCGCATGGTCCCCAATCTCCCCGCGACTTCCCGAGCCGAGAAAAGTTCGAAAACAAGCGTTTTAGACGGTTTTTGAAAGTTCATCGAATGCATGCACGTTTTTCGTCGCTGACGCGCTTCTGCGGACTCGTAGAGCTTTTTGGACCGGAAAATCGGACTCATCTTTTCAAAAAAAAGATGCTTGCCAAAGATTTCTTTGCCAAAAAAGATGCTTGATTGGGTTCCTCCTGGGAGGAGGCGTAGGGGACGCCCAGTGAGAGGTTGGCGACAGGGGGTGTTAAGTGAGATGAGGGAGTGTCAACTCCCTGATAACCTGTGGGAAGACCGAGCTTTGTGGCGATTAGGTGTCGCAAAGCGCCAAAGAGCGCTATAACAGCGACTCGTATGTATGTAAATCGGACTCAGCGGGTCATTTCCAAGGGAAAAACTTGGTTTCAGCTCAATCGGAGAACTTTCGATTTTGGCCCTTAAAAGTTAGTCCATGTCGATTTTTCTCAATTTCGGACCGGGAAAAAAAATTTCGAGATTAGCGTCGAATCCGACGGAGTTTGAAGCGCAGAATCGATTGCGCATGGTCCCGAGTCTCCCCGCGGCTTCCCGAGCCAAGAAAAGCTCGAAAAACAAAAGTTGGTCCATGATTTTTGTAGAACTGCCCATATTTCGTGTAGAGCACGATGTGGACATGATAAACGCAAAAAATTAAATCAGAAACTGGAACAAGCCTAGATCAAGAAGCGTTGTTTTCGCGCAAATTTTAAACGCCCGGGTTTCACACGTTTGATGTCGGACAAACGCATTTTAGAAACCTCCCACTGAAAATCGAGGATATCTACAAATTATCAGACGTAAGAATGTCACTGACGGAGCTAGCCCTGGTAAAAATGTTCCATGCGAATGTGCATGGAAACCAGGTGATTTCCATGCAAGACGCATGGAAATCAATTGGTTTCCATGAAAGTCGCATGGAAACGATCTGATTTCCATGCACCGCAGAACTCAAGTGATTTCCACGCGGGAGGGAAACGTCATCATTTCCATGCAGTCTGGATGGAAATCTTATGATTTCAATGCCAGATGCATGGACATTTTACTTTTGCCATGCAATGAGCATGGAATCGTTACCACCATTATTTGAGCAGCTTGTTAACGAAGTCATTGTAATTAATGCATTGTGGAAAAAACAGAAACACTTTGTACTAATCACGATGGGTCAAACCAGATTTGCAAGATTTTAGAAAAAGAAAAAGAAAAAAAAATAGGTGGGAGAACTAAAAAGATGAGTCAAACGTATAGTTTTTTAAAGAATTCACGGACGATTGTTGCGGGTTGCATTAGCAGCCCCCCAAAAATCGTTGACATTTCCTTCTTTTGTGATCGATATGACAACTGGGCGTGCAAAAATGCAGCAAAAAAGGAATAAAGGAAAATAATATTAAATTAAATAATAAAAAAGTGAATAAAGGAAAATAATATTAAATTAAATAAAAAAAATAACTGAAACCTTAAAATAAATTATAAAAAATAAAATTAAAGAAAAAAGAGTAAGTGAAGAAATGATCATATAAAAAAAAAAATAAATTAAAGTAAAAAAAAACAAAGTAAAAAAATGAAGTCAAAGAAAATGAAGTTATAAAGTAAAGTTAAAAAAAGAGTTAAAAAATAAAGTAAACAAGTAAAGTAAAGTTAAAAATAAAATGAAGTAAAAATGAAAT